CTTCAGGTATTAGTACTCTTATAGCTTCCCCCTATCCCAGTATATCCCAGATAGCTCCTGTTACCGTATTAGTATGTGACCTTTCAATATTTCTTTCTCTCTAGGGTGCTGGTTTAGTATTGTATATTCAAATACTGTGTATTCCTGGAAGGCGTATCAGGAACTGGTAGTACAGAGTAATGCTACTTTTACCTAATGTTTATTATCGTATAATCTGTATTTTTATTTATTTATTTTGATTTGAGTTATTAAAGTCATTTATCTACATAAAACAGTTTAGACCTATGATTTTAAATCATATAAATATATTTCTTATATAACCGTCAAAGTAGGATTTAAATGTATAGAACGCTTTCTTTCTTTCTTTGAGTCGAAAATGTTATCACTAATTAAATAATATTAATGAACTTAAAGATTTGGTATGTGATCTATTTAGAGATTTATATTTAAAATAAAATATAAATTAATTACTTCATCATAATTAAATTTATTTTTGGATTATTTCTAGTAATGTTGTTTAATATATATGTATTTTTTTTAATTTGTCCTTTGTCTTTATATATCTAGAAAAAAAATAAGATAACAAAAATGGTAATTTTTTCAAAAAGCTTAATTTAGTGTCATAGCATCTCAAGGATCTTATAAATAAATGTGAACTATTAACTTATTATGATTACAAAATATCAAAGGTAAAAAAAATTAAATATTAAATCTTTTTTTAAATTTTTATTTTTTAAAGACCAAGGCAATCTTAAGGCTGGCAGACATTATCTATATAATGAAAGTAAAGGAGGGAAAGGAAGCATAATACAGACACCTAGTAAATTAAAAAAGATGATTATTTTTAAAAATGGGTCTTAGGAATATCTAAGGACATTTTTCTTAATAAAATATAAGTAAATTTATTAAAATTTAAATAAGGTTTATGAGACTTATACCATATTGGTTGGAGTAGCACTTTGGCACTCTTTGATATAATTAGCTCGCGTTGGCTATTGACAGTTGACCCTATCATCAGCTTTGCACTTTCATGCTGCTTAACTATATATTTATGGTATTTATTCAGAAAATAATATTGGTTAAAGCATCAGAAAATGTTAGAAAAGAACTGATATTCTTTAAAAGTTTTAAATATACATAATACCGCTGATAAAATGCCATAATACCTGACTCAGTAACTATGAAGGCATAATCTTGGACATATATAAAACTGGTTATAAATTAAAAATAGAAATATATTACTGAAATAGTACTATATTTCCCAATCTATGACAACGATGTGGGGTGAGGTACATATATAGGAATAAAAAGTAATTAAACTTGATTACAAGTTCCAGATTTTTAGATGGACTTGGAAGTAGTTTCGTATCAATCAAATTGAATATTCTGTAGTGCTGTTGGAAATCATAAATTCTTTACTATTTGTGTAAAATTATATCATAAATTGGATGTGATCAATGATTGATATAATTTTTTTTTTTTAATGAAATATTCTATGTATATGTATTTCAAATCATTAAGTAGATTTTCACTTGTATAGCCTATCTGTTATCTGTACTGTAGAAAGTTATTCATTTATTTTTTCGCCATCCACTTAACACTATTGTTGACATTGGAGATAGTGTAGGTGTGTTTTCCGAACAATAAACATTTATTAAATTCTAAATTGTTTAAAGTAGGCAAATGATAGCCTCCAAGGCAAGGGTGATGAATAAATCACATAAGATTATCCTTTTTAAACAAAAATCTTATATTTTTGTTCATCGTATTCATATATATTGTTTTGATATTTTTTAAGAATATTAAATGTTCACTCAAGAAAGGTAAAAATGAGTAAATTTTACTCCTTTACATTAAAGCAAACATAAAATCCTGAATTATGCTACTTATTGCTACTGGCAGAAACTGTTAACTTCTTTATTATAATTAATTAATGGGATCTAAATTACATCTGCTTTATGTGAGAACTGTGTTTTGAACAGTAAAAAATAAACAGCTCTAAACGTTATGAATTAATCATGAATTCTAGACAGTTGAGAATGTGAAAAACTTGAGGCAGATTGTAAACAAATATTTTTTGGGTGCCTAGTTTTTAAATTTCATTTTTTAGTTTATATTCAATAATTTTTCATTTTATCATGGCAAAAATTATGGAAATTACCATTACTTTCTAATTAATGAGTCTGTATACACCCTAAATATAATAAAGTTACTTCAAACCAGAAATTTTAAAATAAGAAAAAGGAGTTATTTAAATTTAAGTATGAAATTATATCTATTTATTCAGCTGTAAGGTCAATTACAAAAAAATTTATTTCAAATTTACTCCATTCTAAAAATATCTCTTAAGTATTATAGAAAATATTTCACTGACAAAACTTTACATTCAAATGGGGTCTGCATTGATATCAATCATTATCAGAGCCATATAATAAGGTCCTAGTAATTTTTCTTTAATTTTTTCCCAATTCTATGATAAAATATTTACAAAAATTAATGTACATCATATATGTTATGTTTATTATTAAAATTTGCTCTTTCACTTTTAGAAATTCTCTGTTTTAAATGGTGCAACTGTTTATATTAATGATAATCAAAGGGTAATATTTGATGGGAATTTGAATTTACACTACCATTCTATAGAATGGTTTGGGATAGTTGCTAGTAAGAGGAACAAAATATACTCGCTCTGCCTTCTGGATTAATATAATCTTAAGTTTTTATTTTATCATACTATTTTTTTTTTTTATCTCCAATATTTCACCCTATAAAGCCATTATAACGGAGAACCTTATAATTCAAAATCATTAAAGGCTAAATTTGTTTGTCTTACTTGCTTCATTTACTATTTTATTTTATTTTAACATTGTTCTTATATGAAATGTTTTCTAAAAGAAAAACGATTCCAATGTATTGAATGTTAAACTTATAACAATATGTCTGTTCCTTGTTACAGATAATTTCTTCCATCGTTAGTCATTACTAAATGTATTATAATTAAGTGTTCTTTCACTGGGAGCTTGATAAAAAATATAATAAATGTTAGCTATATCAATGTTCTACTTTGTTCAAATGAAGAAAAAAGAAAAAAAAAAAAGATTGAAAATATGTTACCATGTATGTTACCTAAAACAAATATACTCTGTGTTGCTCTCTTTTATGTAATGATCAAAGGGAACGTAAAAATATAAATGTATGACAATTTGAGGGAAAATGTTGAATATATTTTGAAATGACTGTTTCCACTTTATTAGTAGCTGATATGCACGATACTATTTTTAAAAATTTAGAATATAAAGACTCAAATTGAGTTCCTAATTTTCTGTTTTAATTACCATTTAAAGATAAATATTTTTTATAAACCTGCATAACTTTTTTTATTTAATTTTTTTAAATTAATGTATTGTAATAAATACATTGTTTACAATATAACAGAGAAATGTTAAAAAATTCATTTTTATTGATTTCCATATTTAAATTAAGTTTAAAGTCAACTAAATCTATCTCTGAAATTACAATTAACTTTGTAAGATTTATGTTATAACTATATTTAAGAGATATACAAAAACATTCTTTCTTATGCTCATTAAGATGAACTCGAGTCAAGTGATAATACATTACCAGTTGCTTTTAAATTCTTCAGTTATTTAAATGAATTCACTTTTGATTAAGAACAGATTATGTTACAATATTATTGTTCTCTTATTATACATGTAATTTAAATCGACTAAATATTTTCTTACTGTCGATAAAAAAATTTCTACTTGAGAACAGCAGGCCTGTGTCTCATTTTCCAAGTTTGTAAAATTTGATTTTTTTTCTTATCATTTCTCCTTTTAGGTGCTATCATTCTTCATCTTTAAGATATAGCTTTATGAAAACCTTTTTGTAATACATTTGTGTACCTCCCATATTAAAGTTAAGCAATAATAAAAATTTGTTATGCCAATTGTATTTTATATAACCCTTAGTAGTGTTTTCATAATTCAAGAGTATTGGTTGATTATACTATTATTTTTGGAATTTAAAGGTAATAAAAAAAAGATTTCTGAACCATAACAGTTTTAAAATTACTGTACTAAAGTACTCTTCCTATTAATATTTTACATAAATCACAAGTAGTTGGTGATAAAATATTTATTTATAATAAAAATAACAGGTTGTCAATTTAGAGGTTAAGAAGTTCTTAAAAGTAATATGAAATAAAAACATGAAATATTAATCTATTTTAACATCAAAAATAATTTAATTTTTTTGTTTGGTTATAGTCATGGTTTGTTATCACATCAATTATATTAAAATACAAGGCACACTGATAGAGCTAACAGTACTAAAAAGAAAATTGGAATGGAAATAAAAATAGTTACTAATTCTATCTAATAACAATAAATAAGTTTCGTTAATAACATTAGTAATTACATATAAGTTGCTATACATTTATGGCCATCTAGTGTTGTCTTAAAATTTATTCACTACCCTAACATAAGAGCGCTTATCCCTAAGAAATATAAATATAAAATTTACACTATATATATATATATAAACTTAAAATGAAGAACATATATTTCGCGTCCACTGGATGCTGTGTACATACAAAAATATATTTAAAAGGGACACTTTCCAATGTACTTACCATTCACAGATCTGAATTATGGTAAACATTACCTTTATTTACATTTCTTTTTTAGAGATAAACAATAATGAATATTGCACAATATTTTTATTGCTATATAAGTAGATAACTCGAATTTTATAACAGTTACTTACATACCTACTTAAAAGAATATTTACATGGTATAACTATTTACATGTTTTTTTTTTTTATAAAGCATTAAAATAAAAAGAATATTTTGTTTCCAAAAGGAAGACAAGTAGAATTTTTTTTCCACAAATCTTTGTTCAGTATGGAGCCATTCGTTTCCAATTTCAAGCCATGGCACTTGTATTGTGTCAGTCTCAGGTTCAGAAAACTATTTACAAAATCACTTGAGGCCTTTCCTTTATTCTTCCTCACCATAATCGATTTCTGTTTCATCTAAAAGAGACTCCTCAGGCTCTGGACACTTTAAACACCTGAAATAAAAAGTTTAAATGACTTAGAAGCATTATTCAATATAGACCCGACACAACACAGAGTGCCCCAGGAGGGAATGCTAATATTAGGGTACTTACATTAAAAAAAAAAAAAAGAAAATAGCAAATATTTGGATCACAATATTGAGATGAGATAACGAAAGCCCAATATCGATATTGTCATCGATAGAAATAGCGGCCTATAACTATCGATCAAACTATGGTACTTGAAATATCGAAAGTCGATATTATACATTTTTGAAAAGCCAGTAATTTTGAATTATCAATTCTCTAGCACATAAGCACTTCAAAAAACATGTTATTCTCATCTTGTAATTAATTAATGGAAATATTATTTCTTCTATCCTCCTTAGTAAAATTAATTTCCTGGCTCCTGTCCATCTTTGTCATTTTCAGCTTTTCCCCATAAATTTGCATTCAAACAATTATGCCTTCCTTTCACCCATAGATCGGATGCAGTGAAGTTCTAATTTATTTGCATCCCACATAAATTTCTTTGATAGTTCGAGGCCTTGGTTTGAAAATGTTTTAGCTAAAAATTTGGACAAATTGAGTTTACACTCAGAAATCATTCACAACAAAGTTATCTATGTTCCCAAGTAATGAATTTTAGTGCAGGTCCTATGGTTATAAGTTTATAAGCTGAGTGCTACTCAACTACGCATAACACTCTACATGAGAACAAGAAATATGAGTATAATCTTTTCTCCTAATGATCAGAATCATATAAAATCTCTAGAGTTTTTTAAGAATGATAGTTTTAATTTTTTAATTAAAATATCATAAGGAAGATATTGATTGTCCATAATATGGAAGTAGATGCCATCAATAGTAAAATTTCAATATTAACGACTACCAATGACCATCCTTAGTGCAATATAAGATTAAAATATAAATTTTTTAAACAATAGAGAAAGATTCACATTTAGCTATTATCTTTAAATACCACTGCCTTGAAGATATTAGTCTGCCGTACAAATTCCTTCTTATCAAATTATTAATATCCAACTAAAACTTTGTAAATGGCTTGTTCTTATTGTAACTTTTTTATTTACAAAAAAATGGATTCTCCATTCTGGAAAAATGGAGTGTTTTAAATCTGAAAATTAGTTAACTTGTCTATTTCATGAGGTACTAAAAACCTATGGACACTCATTTGTTTTCCACTTGAATTGTAAGACAACTTCATCACAAAATCGAAAAAAAAAAAGGTTTAAAAAAACATTATATTGCTTTTAGTGTAAGTAAAAAAAAAATTAATTCTTTTTATATATATCAAAATTTCTATTTACATCGAAATTTTTATGTATCCAATTTTTTTCAAGAAACCTTCATATTTGAGATCAAGAGGTACGACTATACTTCAGAACTAACCAATATTTGTATTTGCCCCATCATCATAAAACATTAGTAGCTATATTTTCGTTTAATTTTTTCCTATGTATGTTTGCAAACTAGCGAATTTATAAAAAAAAAAAAAAATGTTTTAAAAATTCAACAAATATTTGATTTTTACTTTATTCAATTCAATTAGTTAAATTAATAGTTTACGTTACTTTAATTTAAATGACAATGAGAATGGGAAAAATATATAGTATTAAAGAAATTACTTGTGCATTGTGTTTATATTTATACTGCGAACTTAACTTGTTTCTTTATAAAAACTAATAAATACATTTTAAACTAAATAATATTAATCACAGATGACAGAATGAAAGAAAAAACTTTCTTGAATGGAGGTTTGAGAGGTGGAAACTCTTTTCAAGCTAAAAAGTATAAGATATTGAATGGTATGATCTAGGAGCTTTTGATTTGGTTTTAAACTTAATCCAATGAATTGATGAAAATTGCCTTGGATTACAGAGTTCACAGTCTTCAGATCCTTAAATTAAACTAGAAAATTTTCTTACTATATTGCTGCACACACAGAACAATATTTGGCTTTAGTTAGCTGAGGGATATAGCATGCGAGAGGAATGGGCTTTGGGCAGAAAAATATGGAATGAGGCCTAAGAAAATTTCTAATTTAAGGAAATTCATTGGTTCTGAATAAAATAGGGAGCGGAATGTCCGAGCGGGCTAATGCATGTGCACAGCACCACACATTGTCTGGCAACGCCCATGCGTCTCGGTGCCAGGAGGGTTTTTTCATCTCTGGCATTAATTCCTTGCCCTGACCCCCTGACTCGGGAAAACCCCATGTAAACTAAAAGACGAGGAAGACCAAAATAAGAAATAACAAAAAAAAAAAATAATGTTTTTTATAAAAATACTAACTAAAAAAAAATTAATATTATAAAAACTAAAGGATCCTAAATGAACTGATTGACATTTTTTATTTTTAAAAAATTCATATCCTTTATTTTTATGGGCAAAATTTAATGTTATATTTAAAATTTTATGTCTTATTTTAAAAAAAAATAATTTATTGGAGTTGGAAATAATTAAGTAAACATATGAAATGAAAGAAATTACCTGCTTTCATTTATTCCATAATTTATACAATTTTCTCCAATGCATTCACAACAACCATCATGAAACCATCGATAGCTAACTGCACCCATTGATTGACAAGAACCCTTACACTTATTCCATGGCATGCACTGGCTTAAATATGCAACCGAACAGTTCAATGTAATCATCATATCTTTCCTTGGATCGACCTCTTGTTCCACATTTTCTGAAATAGATAGAAAAACAAATCAAGAAATATGCATGCACTTTCCTTCAACAAAAAAAATGGTAAAATAGTTGATAAATTATTCATTTTTTTACAAATGAATAATAAATTTATAATATAAAACTAGGAGTTCACAATATATTTAGAGTTTAATTATTTCACCGGTCACAGAGAATAAGTTGGTAAATTGAAAATGGCCTTGAGCTTTGTGTAATGTGGTCATCTAAGCCTTCTGCACATAATGATAAAGGCTTAGGATTTTATAATACATAACACTTACCAAGAGTCAATTTCCTACCAACTATTCCTCTGAGGCTGCCAATATACAAAAGTATTCTGGTTACATAAAAGGAAAAACTTCAGTATTATAAAATACTTTGGACAAAGAAACCTCAACATATTAAATTTTTATTGAGTAAGTTCTAAATAGATAATTTAAGAAACAAGCGTTTTTAATCCTTCTAAATTAAAAATATATTGACCGAAATAAATTGGATTTACTGATAATACAATAAAAAAATTCAACTAGAGACTACCAATTTTCAAAATACATGTAAGAAAAAATCCTATCACATAAAAACAAATATCTTTACAAAGCACTGAAAATTTTAACACATTAATTGGATAGATAATTTTTTTATTCAAATTTATCACTATTGGGGTTATTAACAAAACTAAACAAAAAAAATTAAATTTACTTAAAATAGACAACATAATTTACCAATTATTTAATTCATCATAATTAATGGCAATTTAAACTAAAATAAAAAATTTCAAAGTCACATTTATTAAAATATGTTATTTATAAATATAAGATACTGAAGCATAAGCTAATCTCCAAGATAACAAGGAATCAAAAAGGTTTACTTCAAGAGCTTTTGTTTTTAATTATGTTTATTTAGTTTTTTAAAGATTGTTGACTTTCTTATAAGAAAAAATTAATCTAATTTTACACAGTGCTTGAGTTTTTTTAAATGTAAAATTGATATACAACTCTTCATGAAATATTATACTTCATATCACAGATGCTGGTTATTATCACTCTTGTTAAATAAAGTAGCATAATTTACTTAAGCAAACCATTAGAATTTTCATAAGATATGAACACTAATTTAAATAACTTTTTTGGTGGGAAAAACTGGTCATTAGATTTTAAAAGTAATAAATCTGTCATTCAATTGTTATGTAGAGCAGCAATCAAATTAATTTCTCTGTTCCATCTATAAAATGTGATGGTTATGAGTGGTTGAAAATGTTTATCAATACTGTAAATTAACCAAATATACCTACTGGTACGATATTTGATGGTTTTATCTAAACGTGGATGATAATGGGAAGTGTCAATGTCTACTGGGAAATTAAAGGTAATCCAACGTTGCTGAGCATCAGCTTCAGATGTGAGGACTTGAAATAGATTTGGTATAGCTTCAGGAAGATCCTCAACATGGCTTTTACTACTCAGCGCACTGACTGTGTGATTCGGTTTGGGACACATATCTAAAAAAACACAATCAGGCTGTTATATTCATATATCAGTAAATAATCAATTTCAACATGTATTTGTCTTACCAACACATGAACAGCATTCACTATACAAATGACTCAAGCAGCTGAAGCATTCCTTACAACAAGAACAGTTCTTCAAATCACACTTACAAGACTGTGTTATCATGCATTTGCTTACAATGCTAGCACAAACAGCTTCGTTACAGCATTCACTCATTTGTGTAAGTAGAAAAATGGTAAATACCGCAGATGTTAACGCCAAAACCACAGGGAAAGAACGCATTTTTCTCTCGTTCTATAAAACGAAACTAAATCAATGATCAATTCCAATCACAAAAAATGGTTGCTTTATCTAGGAATTCCTCTCTTTTCTCCCTAACTAATGACATCCAATCTTCGAAGGAGTCTTAAAAAAAAACTCCGGAATGCAACACTTACACTTCCGTGCCTCAGTGATTTAATGCACTTTTTTTATTTTGTACCTCAGGTAAATAACCCCCTCCACTTTCCTAAAGGCTTCTGAATCGTTCAGGAACCACACTTAGTTGAAAATTTTTCTTGAATATCTTAAAATAAAAGAAATGGACAAGAATATAATTAACAGGATATTCGTTAAATAGATACCATTATATCCGTTATTAACAGTTATATCTTTTCCGATAACGATTCATAGTATAATAATATATCTTTTCAAATAGTTACTAAACAAACATAAAAGTAAGTAGGAGCTATTAAGAAGTAACTCCATTATAATTTTTTAAAAGAAAAAACATGTTTTAACATTTTTATAGTTTATTGTCAAGTATGTTTTTTATTTAGTCGTCAGTTGTAAGATGGCATCCCCCCGACCGAGATCCCCTAGACCCATTACTCCTAGAAAAGATGATGAATCTTTTTGGGAAAAGATTGGTACTTTGGGTAGAAAAAAGAGAATTCGTGAGGGTAAGGCGTCTAAACTTAGAAATGATCCATTATAGAATAGTATTATAGTTTCTGTATCACTGTTCAAATGAATTGGTTTTTAATCATTACCTTATATGGTCAACTAGGTGCTCAAATGGTACATGGTCATTTGTTTGACAAGAGTATTTAATAATATCGAGATAAAAAAAAGAAATTATATCTGAATTGTTTGTTGATCATTCTTCTCAAGTGTGTTACAGTTAAGGTTTTGTATGTGTTCATAAATTAGGAAGATTAATTGTTGACTTTAGTTAAATTTTTTTTCATTGCAGTTGTTACTTTTTTATAGGTTTTTAGTACAATCTTTAATTTATGCTTCCTTTAATAATTTATTTAAAACTGTTAGGAGTATTTATCCATCACTTTGATATTCATTTGCGTTAAGCAGTCAGGAATTTATAAATACACCTTTTGTAATATTAATTAGTCTAATGTATGCTATTGCTATCATAAGTCAATTGTTGTAGGTATTTTATCTAATTTTTGTTAATGAAGTTATGTTTAAATTTTATTGTTCCAGTTTGATCATTTTTAATTATAAAAATATATATTATAGTCAATAATAATGTTAAATTTGATGCTATTCAGTAGTAAAAGTGCTAGTGCTGTTTAGCTTGTTTTTTTTTCTGGTGATTTGTTGTTCCTTACATTGTTTTGGACTTAAGGGACTAATTACTTGTAATGACTTCTAATTACAAGTTATATTAATTTAGTTCTATTTTAATTTTATTATATTCATGTTTTATCCAATTAATTATATATCAGTTTGCAATTCTTTACATTCATTATTTTTTCATTTTGTCTGATAGAGAGTTATTAATAGTGACTATCTAATTATATGTTATGAAAATGAATTAATTTTAATAGGATCCCAAAGTTTTATATTTTAAAATTGACCATTTTTCTTATGTTAATTGTTCATTGTAGAACACCCACAATATACTTTCACCGTAGTTGATTGTCTATTATAAGTGAAATCTGCTTTCATTTTTTATATTTACTTTTTTCCTTTGTTTGTCAAATAATTAAGGTTTGATGTTTACTTTCACGTCTTAGTATACTTCTTGCTAAAATGCTTTCAACTACAACTGTTTGCTATTACTTCCATGTTTGTAATCAGTCATATACTTATTCCTTGCTTTTTTTTTTTTCAAGTTATAATTTCATGAATTCAAATATCAAAAAGCCATTTTTTCTGACTGACTCACGGACCATCTTCTTGAAATGAAGTATACTAAACGTTGGTTTGTCTTCAGTCTGTTGGTGTATATTACTAAAAATAAATCATACAAAAATACAGAAAATTAGTTGCAAATTTATTGTAGAAAAATATTGGATATTTTTAATCCTTATGAGATTATATTTGTTTATACAAGATTTACTGGTTAACATATTTTTCGTAGTAATGTAATTGAACATAGTCAAGACAAATATATGTAGGCGTTCTTTCTTCATAGAAATGGTTAAACTAATATTTCTAAGTTTAGCATGGATTTTTTTTTATTATTATTTTTTTTTTATGCTAAGTGAATATAACATTCAATCACTAACTATATTTATGAATATGTTTTATCATTGTTTGCATTCAAATTGTAAACATCCTCTTTAGGGGCAGTATGGTTACACCTTGCTCCAATCATCTGATTTATCTATTATCTGACTTAGTTCAAGCACTCATGACCAGACCCTGTTAATTTTGTATAAAAAAAGTTAATAACTTGGACAAATGTCATTTTGTATTCAGTCCTACACACAGAGGAGTTGGTTATGAAAGTCAAACAAAGGATAATCCTGCTTCAACGAAGTGTAGAGTGAAGCAAGATGTGTCTTATTTTTCTTACAAATTGAATCTGGGTATGACTTTATAATTGCCTTAGAAAACATCTGATAATAGCCACTGAAATTGCCAGACAAATTCTTAATGAGGTCCAAAACTCAGGTATGTAACTGCAAACAAACGTCGAGCCACTGAACGAAGTTAGCTTAATAAGACTGTGAACGACTAAATACTATCCCAATCTACTATTGATCAAATATATATGAAGTAATCTCAAATCCAAAAAGACTCATGATACAAGTTACATTTTTAGCGAAAACTTGAATAAAACAAACTTGCTACCTTCTTTGAATCAGAACTGCTTCCTCTTAATAACTCCGATTCTTGTTTAACATAATCGTACAATCTCTGTCAAACTTATACGACTTCAAAATAAAGCTTGCACTCAAAACAAGCATTTAAAACAACAATTGAATATTATCATATAGTTATCATCATATAGTGAATATTATCATATATAGTTGGATTTATGTGTACGATGGTTCTGCTGAGGAAATAACGCAGAATAAGAAGGCAGGTGGATACTCACATCTGTTTGTCTTTCGAAACTGTATGGATAATGGACCACAATTTAGACAGGGAAATTCATGTAATTTGATTAACTTTGTAAGCCTTCTAAAACCTAGCTGTAGAACTGTAGTTCTAAGTGAAACTCCTAGCTGAACACATCTCCCTCAAGAAGACCTGCAAAGTCAGGTCGAAACGTCTTTTAATAAAATTAGTTTTGCCACTGTTTAGCCTATTTATGGCAGCCACCACGGACCATCTCCTTCCTTTATAATGCAATGGTCAACTATTAAATATTCAATATATTTTTTTAATTCTTAATATGTGGCGAGCTCTAGGTCAATTGTCTGGATGGCCTAGGCCTTAGGCTGGCACTGACCTGATATAGAGCCTTAAACCATCCTTTTTAAAAAAAAAAAAGGTTGGGAGAGTACTTCTGCCCAATCTTATTCCAATTAAATTGTTGATCTCAGAGATATTTACTTCATTAACACATGACCCCACATCAACCATCAGTCTACTCTATTAGGATTAAAAGATTAATGATTAGACCCTGAAATCACCTTAATTTTGAGATCCCGGAAGTTTGGCATATTTGGATTGCTCAAACTCTTAAGCCTGAATGGGATAACCCTGAAACTCCTTTTCCTAATTCAAAATTTAGGTGTCATGTAAACTACAGCCTGTTCCAGTAACCTGTGAACTGTTGATAAATTATTGAATTATTACTTATGTTGGGATTGAGAGGTAATCCTTGAATGGTCACCTAATCAATGTGACTGATATACTCTCCAATGAAGGTTCAACAGTGGAGCAGCCATAAAATCTGCTTGGAAAAGATAACAATTAAAGAAAAATTGGTGTTTATGCACAATAGGAAACATCACAGTCAGATCTATGGAGGGGAGGGCGGAAGGCCTTTGGGCTAATTCCCCTCCCCCAAAATGGTAAAATATAACCATATCTTATGAAAAGAAATATAATAAAATTATCTCGAAGTGTTTTGTTTGTATAATTTAATAGGACTTCAAGAATCACTTAAACACCATTTCATATAGATAGTTAGTTTCTTTCTTCTTTTAAAGTAATAATTGGCATTAATATGTAAAAACAAAACTTTAGGGATGAAACTCCTACCCTCTCCCCAAAATTAAATCCTAGATCCCTTAGTGGAATAATAGATGATATACAGTTGGTCTGTTATATATATATATATATATATATATATATATATATATATATATATATATATATATATATATATATATATACCTCGCGCGGGCTCATTACCGCGTATGGGGAGCGTCCCACGGGTGGCGGATGTGGGGATGGTCGGTGGAAATTCCTTGGAAGTTCCTCCCGGCTAAGTCCGATGGACTCGCTGACCAACAATGAGAGGGGCTCTCCAGACTTGCTGGAGGGAGGGGACCTCCAGACTTGCTGGAGGTAGGGGCCCACCAGACTTGCTGGAGGGTGTGACGTAGGATTGAATGCCCTACTCACATATCTTTAGTTCACCAAACACCACAAAAAGTCATGGATCTCCCTAAGGTAAAACGCTCATTATCCGGAGGTAAACTAGTCCCCCGTTCGGGTCTCCGGGTGGGGACTGCTTTAGGGGATTCATGCCGCAAGTTGAAATATAGGGATTTAAATATTGGTACGTGGAACGTAAGGAGTTTAAACACAGCAGGGGGGCTAAAATCGGTCGCGAATGAGGTAAATGGATACAATTTGGATGTCGTGGCTCTGCAAGAGGTTCGCTGGCCAGGGGAGGGCTCGATGAGGGAAGGGAAGTACACTATTTGGTACGGAGGAAGCGGGAATCATTGTTTAGGTACCGGGTTTCTAATTAGGAGTAGATTACTATCCGCTTTGAGGGACGTACAATTCTTTAGTGATAGAATTTCGGTAGCTACATTTCAGGGACGTTGGTTTAAAATCGCATTAATAAACATACATTGTCCGACCGAAGGCAGTGACGATGAAGTCAAAAGTGAATTTTACGATAAACTCGAATGGGTTTATGATAAACTACCGCGAAACTACATGAAAATAATTGTAGGTGACGCGAACGCAAAGGTAGGAAGGGAAGAAGTTTATATTCAGACGATTGGTAAAGAAAGTTTGCACGAATATAGTAATGATAATGGGATCCGTCTGATAAACTTTGCCATCTCGAAAAACCTGGTAATTAAAAGTACGACGTTTAAACGTAAGGATATTCATAAATATACTTGGACATCGCCGGATTCGCAAACACGAAATCAAATCGATCATGTCTTGATACAACACAGCTGGCAAAGCAGTATAATCAATGTACGGTCTTATCGCGGAGCAGAATGTGGGTCGGATCATGAATTAGTAATCGCGAAACTTCGACAAAAACTTAATATAAAAAAGAGAAAAGAAAACCGTTTCGATTTTGAGAATTTTAATTTGGAAAAATTAAAAAATCCATCAATTAGAAACCAATTCGAGCTAGATGTTAAGAATAGGTTTGAAGCTTTAGAGTTTCCTGACGAGGACCACGAGGATATTGACAAGTTATGGGTAGAGATCAGGGATAATATTAAAGCGGTCGGTAACTCGTGTCTAGGAAAAAAGGAAAATAAGAATAACAAACCGTGGTTTGATGAAGATTGCTTAAACATGTGCGAAAAAAGGAAAGCCGCTAAATTAAAAGCTCTAAATAATCCTAGCGAAGACAATCTGGAATACTTCCGAATCTCAAAGAACGAAACGACAAAATTGCTCAAAAATAAAAAAAGGGAGAATCTTAAAAATAAAATAATTGAAATAGAAACTAATAGAATCGAAAATAACGTAAGAGACATGTACAAAGGTATAAACAGATCACGTAAATATGTAGGGCCCGTAACGTCTGGAATTAGGGATGATAATAACAATATTCTGACCGATCCGGTTGACATATTGAATAAGTTTAAGGACCACTTTGACAATATTTTAAATACGGGAAATTATGATCAGTGTCCTCCTTCTGAGTACCAGAGTGCTGAACCGTTGATAGAAGGACCAAGTAAAGAGGAAGTTGAAGTAGCTATCGGTAAATTAAAATCATATAAAGCAGCGGGAATCGATAATATTCCTACTGAACTAATTAAGGCATGCGGGGAAGCTGGAGTTTCTAAAATACATCGGTTGGTTGAAAAGATCTGGGTGAACGAGAAATTACCTGAAGAATGGAAAGAATCTATTCTTATTCCGATTCACAAAAAGGGTCCGAGGACGGATTGTAATAACTATCGAGGAATTTCACTCCTTCCGGTATGTTATAAAATATTCACTGTAATCTTAACCAGTCGAATCACGGAATACGCCGAGGAAATTATCGGAGACTACCAATGCGGATTTAGACGGAATCGTTCGACTATTGATCAAATATTTTCTTTACGGCAAATATTAGAGAAAAAATTGGAGTATAACGGTATTGTTCACCAGCTGTATATAGATTTTAAAAAGGCTTACGATTCTATTGACCGCCAGAAACTGTATAATATTCTAATCGAGCAGGGAATTCCAAAAAAACTAGTAAATCTAGTCAGGATGTGCTTGACGGAGACACTCAATAAAGTCAGAATCGGTAATAATTTGTCCGAAAAATTTGAGGTTCGTTCGGGCTTAAAACAGGGGGATTCTCTTTCGCCTGTCCTGTTCAATTTGGCATTAGAACATGCCATTAGGGAGGTAATGCGTACCGAGAAAGGGTTGGATCTGGGCGGGACAACATCCGTGCTGGGCTATGCTGATGATCTGGTACTGTTAAGCGAAGACGTTGAAACTATAAAACTAAATACGACAACGTTAATGAAAGCCGGTAAAGAACTAGGACTCCAAATAAATGTGGATAAAACAAAATATATGGTTAGCTGCAAAAATGGCGATACTACTGGTGATATCGATCTAGATGGTAATATGTTTGAACAGGTAGATAAATTTAGGTATCTAGGTTCTACGATAACTAGAAAAAACGAAATTGAAGAAGAGATTAAAGTTAGACTGAAGGCGGGGAATGCTTGTTATTTTTCTGTGACAAAACTACTCAGTTCGCGCCTCTTTTCCCGAAACTTAAAAATTAGAATCTATAAAACAATTATCTTGCCTACAGTTCTTTATGGATGCGAAACTTGGCCGGTTACATTAAGGGATGAGCAGCGTCTTAAGGTTTTTGAAAATAAAGTATTGCGTAGAATATTCGGACCGAAGAAGGATGAGTTAACCGGAGAGTTCAGACGGTTACACAACGCCGAATTGCGTGAGCTATATCCGGGTAATATAATTGAGGTAATTTCATCGCGGCGAATCAAATGGGCTTGTAAAGTTGTTGGGCTTAGTAACGAGAGAATTCCTAAAAGGTTAATATTTGCTGTGCCGAATGGTAAGCGTCGGAGGGGTAGACCGAAGCGAAGGTGGGAAGATTGCATTAAAGCTGATCTGAAGGGACTGGGTTTGGACGGCGAACGGTGGAGGGAGGTGTGTAACAAGCGATTGGTGGTGTCGGCATCGAACCTTCGGGTTCGCTAAGCCTTATTATTATTATTATTATTATATATATAGAACTTGGATGGGTGACCATCCACCAGCCAGGAACCGTCCACCAGGAAAGCCATGCTCCTGAGATTCTCCCCCTTGGGTATGTGAAGCCCAAGAGTCTACTGGAGGCAACTCACACCGACCGGTCGTAGGATTGATGACCCTACCCCGTACTTTAAATCGGGAATCGGGATGCGGACCACACTGGCGGTCAAAGATCTTCATGGTCTGTAGCGCCAATCGAATAAAATATATATGTTTGTACAGTTGGTCTGGTTTTTCTCATCGTCTTATATATGGGATAATAGTCTTCTATACAACTTTTAATATATCGAACAAATATTCAAACTTATGAATTTTCAAGTACGTGTTTGAAATTGATCTCATTAATGTTATTTTTCCGTTTTTAATTTATTTAACAATAAAAAGCTTTTATTTCTTTGAAAACTGTTCTTGTTTTAAGAACATACATCTCTGAAATACACTGATTGATCTAAAGTCTGGAGTGTTACTACTAAGTTTTCGTTCTCAACAAATTTCCCTTTCACTTCACATTATGTCTGAAAATAATTATATCTATTCAAAGTAGGATGATATAAATGTTATTCATGGTGTCATAGTCATGTGAGCCTTTCAGAAACATAGATTTTTGGTAGTAGTATCCTGTACGTCTTCCACTTCTCTAGTTCTTCAAAAATGATCAACCATAACTAACTTATTCCATCCATACGCGAATGGTATGTAGTAGGGGTAGTAATTTTTTCTCACTAACAGAGAAATCTCCCTCCATGATGGTGTATAGTCGAGTTTTCCTCAATATGTTGGCCTTTATTGGCTCAAAAGCCGTGCATGTCGTGACGATTTGCTCAGTAGTTTCCGGAACACCACAACAGGGACATATAGGTTTATTTTCCTCCCCATAGGAAATTTCAGTAACTCATTTTGAAGTATGAATTTTTACATAAGTAGTTTTCAATAAATTATTTATGTAGAAATTCATCATAGAAATTTTAATACCGTCTAACTCGATTCCCTCAACTTTACAAAAGATTAAAAAGAATATCCAATTTTGTGCCAATGACGGCCACTTAATGGCATATTTCATCCACAAAACTTCTAGGAACATATATTTATTATACGTATATATGTTTACCGTTCTATCGAGTGCGAAGAAACTAATCTAGTTAAATATCTAATTCGTTTTATCATTTTAAGGAGGACAAGGCCTTGATGATATTAAAGATTATTTAATTGTTCAGTGACGTAACGAGGTTAATCAAAATCGTTAGAATCTAAACAATTTAAAATCAATGATATAAAATGAACCGGCAATTCGATTTTAGCACGGAAAGTTAATAACAATTTGCTTATTTAGCAGATATACATACATAAAGGTATCTAAATTAAGTACGTAATTTCATTGAAGGAAGCTGAGTCTCCTGTTCTACATATGATAGGTGATTAACATTCAGGACATTACTAGTGTTGAATATGCTCAAGTAGTCCCTAAAAAATCTTATAAAACTGACTGCGTCCTGACTAGCTATCGGCCATGGTACGTAATTTCCGTGTCCTGCGTACTTACGTCTTTTTGTTTTTGAGCTAACGTTCACTTACAAACACATTACTTTTTGCGAGATTTGTCACTTACAAACACATTACTTTTGGCGAGATTTGTCACTTACAAACACATTACTTTTTGCGAGATTTGTTTGAACTCAATGGACCTTCACGCTTATATTTCCGTTGGAAACTCGGATTCGAATTTTTGGGGATCACAATACTTTCTCTTACTAATTTTTAGTTGAGTGAAAGTTGCAATTATTGTTTATGAAAATATGTATTCAACTTCATTAGAGTATCATATATTGGTTATCATCACAGCGAATGCTACTGTAATATTTCTTCATATTGATTTAGTTTTTCTTAAGGAATCTGCTTGAGATGTAATTTGAGCTGACAGTTCTGCGAAAACAGTCACGATAAAACTTCAGCTAAGAGAGAGAAAATTTATTATTTTTTTATATCTTGATAAAAAAAATATGCTCTGCAATTTAAATAATAAAGTAAACAAAATGTTGAACTTCCATATGAATAATTTTCACTGCTGGCGTTAGACATTTGGCGCTCCCTTAATATTTTTTATATTAAGTAATATTTGAATTTTGTTTCATTTAATTCAATTGCTTAATTAATTATTTTCATACGTTTTGCAACTTCTTTTTTATTCCTAACAAGTTGCGGGCGCTGGGGTAATTAATTACCTTGATTGCTGGGCCTTAAGGCGTGATTTTATTTATTGGTGATTTTTATTTATTTTTTTCAGAAACATACCTCTCTAAAAGTATCAGTGGAAACTATTTTGTATTTTAGGAATGCAAAAGAACGAAATTTTGGATACATTACCTAGTTGAATTTGTCTAAAAATCTAAAGTTTGTAGTTAATTGTGATGCTTATAACTTTTTTTTCCCATTTTTAAAAGATTTTTTAGAAAAACATTTAGAATTTAATCCCCATATTTCCCTCTGTTAGAGAATAAAAACGAACTATCTGTTACTTAAAGAAAGTTTCATTAATTCCATAAGATAAGAATCAATATGAGTGAAGGGAAATATTCAGTAGTTCATACATGTCATGAGTCATTGCTCAGGCATGCTTGGTTTACAAGTGCTAATAGACAGTCTCAAGTACACTGTATATATTTTTTTACCAAATGTTTAAGAATGTATAAGAAAAAAAGGCAATTACTAAAATTTATAGTTAATGCAATTACTCAAAAAAAAAATTGAATATATTGAATATCTATCTATGTATTCTCAAATCATATAAAAACTAATTATTATATATATATTTGGAAGAGACTATTATTTCTAATAATTTTATGATTAAATTATAAAAAAATCTTTACTAGCTTGTTTATATATTGGTTTTATTTTATTAAAACAAATTATTTATTGTTGTTTATGTAAAAATTATTATTTTTCAGTTCAAGAAGTGCAAGAAGAAGGTAAAAATGCAATTGACTCACCTGGAAGCCCTTCCAATGGAGATTTCCCTCCTGAAATTTATTCACTTGGTAAGTTATAGTTTTTAATTATATATCTAAATTGTTAACACTTAAATTTTAAAAATTTATTTTTCATGTTTACTGAATATAACTATTTCAAAGTAAACAAGTCAAAATAAGAAACATAGTTTCCTGTATTTATTATTATTGCAACTAAACCAAATTGGCAGGGATCGCTTCTTATCTATATCAATTGTTGGTTTATGATAAGATTGCTTCGAAAGGAAGTATGACTGTACATTGATGTTTAGATTTATTTATTTTCAATTCAGTCTGCTTACTTAGCCATGGCTTACATGCAGCCTTCGAATTTTCCACGTATATAAATTACTTTTATTTATATGTGCTATATTTTATTTCTGGTTTACCATTTTAATTTTTGTTTTGTTATTTAGAAGAAAATGAAGAAATGTCAATTATTCAACCCGATTCTTACAAGGATTCGAAGCTCAGAGCTTTAATTAATGTTCTCATTGACTGGATTAACGATGAGTTAGCTAACCAAAGAATCATTGTGAAGGATCTAGAAGCAGATTTGTATGATGGTCAAGTTCTTCAGAAATTGTTAGGTTAGAAAATTTTCTTTCTCCTGTTTTTTAATTTTAATTTTTAGTCAAAATATAATTTTTTTTCTTTTTTAATGAAACCATAGAAAAACTGGCTGGTCAAAAACTTGATGTACCTGAAGTTACACAGTCTGAGGAAGGTCAACGTCAAAAACTTAGAGTTGTTCTAGGAACTGCAAATGTTGTGAGTAAAAAGTTTTCTTGTGAATTGTTGTTTACACCAATAAATAATATTTTATGCTTTTATGTAAATTAGTATTTGTTAACCTTCAACGTTTATTTTTGATTATAATGGTAGCCATAATTGTGTTTGTAAATTTCTATTACATAGCACATTATTTATGTAGAAAAAAGATAATACAGTTGTTAGGCCCTATCATAGAGGCCGTGATGGGTTAGTCTTTCATCAATCACCAGTCAGGAACCGTGAGGGTTGATTCCCACCTGGTTATGTTAATATTTATTTTGCAGTTTTTGGCTTGTATTGGATGGGGACAGCTGTTGTCATGGATTTCTCAAAAAGACTATAAAGGCAACTTGACGGTCAATCGACAGTCTAGTTTCCTTCAGTAGCAGTACTATTTGGCCCTGTCATGCTTATATTATTGTTTTTGTTAACCTTTAAATTTTTCTTCTGCTAATGTTTAGCATATGTATACATGGATGTTTGTACACTTATAAGCATATATTACATACTTTTATAAACCTTCCTAAACTAAAGTCTTAGTTAATTCTGTATAAGTAAATCCTGGTATACAGTTTTTCTTTGATTGATTAAATTACATTACTATTTATGCAAATGCTTTGTATTTTATTCTGAATATAATAAGAATATACTGTAAAATGTGTGAAAGGGACATTTAATAATTTTTTGATGACTAAAATTTGTTTCTATGAAATATTTCCCTTTTGACCATAATGTAAATTTTTTATATACTCTAGCATAATAACTTTCAGTGTTATAGTTTCTTTTCTTGAATAATTATTATTATATTATTAAATAATTATATTTGTTTCAGATTCTTGGAAAAAGTCGATGGTCTGAAGATAAGTGGAGTGTTGAAAAAATTCACTCAAAGAACTTGGTAGCAATGCTTCATCTACTTATTGCCTTAGCGAGACACTTTAGGGCTCCTATCAGACTTCCGGAAAATTTAACTATTAACATCATTGTTGCTAAGGTCAGTTTATTAAAGTTGACTTTAGTTTATAGTAAGTTAAAACTATTTATGAAATAAATAATAAAAACTAAGATCAAATTAAAATTAATGATTAATTGTTTAAAAATTATAGTTATTTTTTAGAATTATAAAAATGCCTAACTTACGTTGGTATATACTTTCATCATGACAAATCACTTGTAATTTTTTTTTCTAGAAACAAGGAGATGGTACTATCAAGCATAAAACTGTCCCTGAAGAATTGACATCTTGTTATGATGATGTTGGTATGAGGTGCCAAAGAGATGCTTTTGATGATTTGTTTGATGCTCCTGACAAACTACATGTTGTAAAGAGTGTATGTATCCAAATTAATTCATATTGCATAGGATATAAATCTAATGAAAAGAAATTTCGTGGTGATTATTTCTAAAAATTAAACATTTAACTCTGTTCATATTACCATAGTCCATAAAATTTAAGACACTTTGTTTTCTTTTTAAAAATTAATTTGTTTAAACGAAAACAACTGGGTGCACCATCAATAATGATTTTAAAAAGAATATTAGATGGAATTTCTAGAGTAAAATTTAAATCTAAATAATGATAGTTGATAGTTGTTAGTCAACTGTGGAAGATAAATTGAACAGAAGTTGGTCGGCGTTTTCAGTCAATGAAAGTACAAAATAAAAATAAGTTATATTTCTTTTTATTTCCTTTGTGCTGAAATTTCGGCTTATGTTACAGGCTAAGCAAAGACAAGATATTATGTAAATATTAAGAAAATGGTAGATAGTAATAGTAATGATATATAGGTAAAAAGGTATAGTAAATAATATTTAGGTAGTTACACTTAACATTAATAAATATGTGAAATGATGGTAAAAAAGCTGGGGGATAAAAAACAGCAATAGCAAAGTTAAAGACTTTTGGAATAATGGAACAGACTTCAAGAATTATAAAAGATAGGTAATAAGTGATGAAGTGAACAGTAAAATAACGGTAATCCCTGAAATGAAATTAACAAAGTAATGAAAAATAAAATATGGAAAAACTGTTTGATATATAAAATTAAAAAACTAAAATTATATCCTTTTATTGTATTGATATTAATTTGAACTTCTATTATTTTGTTTTTTTACTTAATGTATAAAAAAAAGTTTTATTTTTTACATTTTAATTTAGTTTAAACTTCTTTTTTTAAGTTATAATTTTGGTTGTTATATGTAACAACAGTATTTTATGTATGTATTCATTCATTAAAGCAGTCATTAATTTTTTTTGTATTTGAACTTATTTTACTATTTAATAATTCATATTTTCCTATATTTTTTGTGTAGTTTTTCTTTTGTAAAACATTAAATCCCTAGCTTATTTAACAATGTTTCGAAATTCATTATATTTTGATCAGAACTGTTTGCCTTTACCATGATTCTTTCATAGTTCTCCTTAAGTAAACAATAATAAAATAATGGCAACCCCTAAAATAAAATTATCAAAGTAATGAAAAATGAAATATAAAAAACTGTTTGTTATATAAAATTAAATTTGATTAACGATTGATATATAAAATAGTGGTAACAAAATTAGGAACTTATGAAATTTTGTTTTTTCATTAAATTTAATGAAGTTAATTTCATAAACTTTGTTATCATTATTTTATATCTCATTTTTCATTGCTTTGTTAGTTTCATTAAGTTGTTACCATTATTTTATTATCGTTTACTGCATCACTTTATTATCATTATTTTATAAGTATCTAACTTTCTTATCGTTATTTTATTTTATACTTTTTTAATTTGTATATCATATATTTGCCACTCCACAAATTTGTTAATGTTAAGTTTAACTTCCTATATATTATTTAACTACAGTTTTTTAGCTACATAGAATTACTATTACTATCCAATAACTTCTCTATATTTATATGTTATCTTGTCTTTGATTAGCCTTGATGAAGGCCAGAAACTTAAATTGAAACATCAGCGCTAAAACATATAAGGAAATAAAAATAAATATATTTTATTTATTTTTACTTTATATTTTCATTGACTTTGAAGTTTTATTTATTTGGATTTTTCATTTTCTTAAATAACTAAAAAAAAATATGTCTAAAGAAAACTCCATATTTCAAATGTTTCCAAAATTTAATATTTCATTTAACTCTCTACTTTACCAATGAAAAAACAGGTACATCTTAAATTGGAGAGTATTTTATATTCAAAATCGACAGCCTCACTGCAAATGCCTGTAAGAACCTAAACACAAAATTATTTATAATACAAAATAAACTGCGTATTAATTAATTTATGAAGTTGATTTTTGTTCAATTGTTATTTGTTATGCTTAAGACGAAGATGTAATGGTTTTAGTTCGTTTTTATGAATATGTCTGAGGCCAAGATTAACGGGTAAAGCTCAAAACCGAACATTCTAATTAAATTGTACTTACAGACTTTTGCAATTTGGCTGTCAATATATTGCATTATAAATTAGTACTTTATTCATCCCCATTAAGAAATTGTTACATTTTTATAAATCATAAATAATATAATATTTTATTGTGTAAATGAGATAATTGATAATCAGCTACTAGGAAATTCATTATTTTCATTTATATTACAATTTTAATCATTTTGCATTAAAGGTACTTACTTATATCATAAATTGTAGCATGTTAATAGATGTTAGAACTGATTTCTAGCCCAACTTTAGAGAAAGTTATCATTTGCTCTGTGACTCATTTTTTTTTTTTTTAATAAACAAAACCTTATCATCTTCTGTAATGACTGTTTCAATATTACACGGGATTATGCTTACGCATTACATAGCCACATTCGACTTCTGTTTGTGAAATATCCAGGTTAAAATTAAAATAAAAAAAATGTTTTTATTGAGAAATTGAAATTTTTGAAATGTATCTATGATGTGGATATTGAAAAGAATTAGATTTAAATTTAAATCATTTTAAAGGTGAAAAAATATCAAATTAAATGGTTAAATGTAATCATTGGTTTATTGCAAAAGGTCATGCAATAACTGAGAAAATTAAAACACTTAGTAATTTGGTGGGTGGCTATAATGAGAATAACACTGAGAGGGTGGGGGAGGGGGGAAGAGTTGTTTTAGAAATAGCGAGAACTACTATCTATAATATTTGCATGACTGCTCAACTTCTTATTGAGTTGTTAAATCATACAACATACTCATATTCATCAGTCAATAGATATTATTTAAAAAAAAAAAAAAAATGAGTTAGGTAGGATCATTTTAATATGTCGAAAACAATGTACAGAATAATAACACATGTGAAGACATAGATCAGTATATGTGGTAATCCAGGATTCACAACGAGTCTACAGTAATAGTCTCTGCTATTGTCTCCGTCTACTCTCTTCTAATTAGTAATAATTATCTCTTACAAATTAGTAATAAGTTGTCCTTCTTGTATATTTGAATTCCTAATCTTGAGCTGAATAAGGATCATTTCCTCTTTTAGGATGCTGCGACTGGAGGAGCTCCAAGATTTTACATCTGTTATCAATTTGAATTTGCTTCAAATACTTGTGACCCACATCTGCCATTCTTGTGGATATTCTCTTTCAGTGGATGTGCTTCTTTCCCCTTGATGTCCAGATACCCATATATGATGAACTGATTTTTCATCATCATTCATAGATTTTCATATTTCCAGAAAGGCAGTGCAAAAGAATTGCTATTGAATTAATTTCCTGGGGAGGTATTGGATTTATGCTAATTAATTTTAATTGTTGAACTACCGACAATACTGCTCCTGCTAAGGATAGGGCAGGCGTTGATTTTCACTTGAAATCTGAAAATTCTTAGTATAATATCTGTGGGTAGGGTGAGTGGTTTGTAGGTATAATTTCGTGCAATAGTCAATAGCTGATTTGTCAGATGAGAATGATAATAGTGTCAACCCTGATTTAATTCAGAGACTTAATCAAGTGATTGTTCTTAAGACCCTGTTGAAATATTTATTGCCAAAACAGTTACATATATAGTAAATTTTAGGTTTAAAAATGGTTTGGATTTTGTATTAAATCTATTTCATCAATTAATTATAAAATTTAATACTTCAAAGTAAGTTTCAGATTTAAAAATGGTTTGGTTTTTGGGTACTTGTTAAATAGGGGGTAGCTTAGAAACCTCCCTTGTTATCTAATCTTATTTCACATAATCTCCCTTCTTATCTCCTCTAACCTAAATTATTCCATTGTTTATTTTCTTTCCTTGTGTAAGCTGTGGGTTAGTCTTATTTAATTATTGATGTTGTTATATTGTAGAAGTTGAATCTTCAGAGGAGAGGATCCGTTCCTCGCTATTTTAAATAGTATAAAAATATTTTCCCTACCAAATTAATTAAGTTAAAATAAAATTGTTCATGTTTTGTTTATAGTATTTATATCGTTTGTTTTATATATGCATATGTTCTTTATAGTCTTCATAGTGTTTCTTTTATATGTACATATGCTGTTTAAGTGATTTTTTATTATTTCATTTCTTTTTATATATATATGTTGTAATGTTTTTTAATTATATATGTATAATTTGTTGGTCTATTTAATTTATATCTTGTAAAATAAAAGTATTTTTTTATTATTACATTTGTTTTTTTACAATTTTAATAATATCAATACAATACAATAAATATGAATACAAAGATATTATCAGAGTAATCAGTGTTAAGGTTATAAACATCGGCAGATAAGTCGGACGCTACCCGCTATTTAACAATTACCGGTTTTTGTATTAGATCTATTTCATCAATCATCTATAAAATTTAATACTTCAAAGTAAGTCTCAGATTTAAAAATGGTTTGTTTTTTGTATTAGATCTATTTCATCAATTATCTATAAAATTTGATACTTCTAATTAATTTATTTGTAAACAAAAGTAACAAGTTCCTTCTTTATTGTTTTTATATTAAGTAGACTCTTCATATTTGGACCCTTGTTTTATATTTTATATATAGTTGTTTACAATGAATTATTAAGTGTTTAAATTAATTTTAATATAATTCAATTTTTTTTTTTTTAGTCGTTAGTAACATTTGTTAATAAGCATCTGAATAAGTTGAACTTTGAAGTAAACGAACTCGACAGCCAGTTTCATGATGGAGTTTATTTAATTGTTCTACTGGGATTGTTGGAAGGATTCTATGTCCCATTATACGATTACCATGTTACACCTCATGACTTCGAGCAGAAAGTTCACAATGTTTCATTTTTCTTCCAACTCATGCTGGATATTGGATTACCCAAGTCCAAAGCTCGCCCTGAAGGTAATTGAAAATATTGTTTTATAAAACCTACAAAATTACCTTTGAAACATATTAGAGTTTTTACATTTTCATTTTTTTTTTTTTTTCAGATGTTGTCAATAAAGATCTAAAGTCTACATTAAGGGTCCTTTATAACTTATTTATGAAGTATCGAAATCTAAACTAAACTAATAGACTATAATAAGTGCCTTGTTAATTCCTTTAAAGCTTTATTATTGTAACATATTGTATATAAAAGATAGTTTTTAATATGCATTTATTTTTTAAATTCATTGTTACAAATATTATTGATCATTGTTACTTGTGAAATTAAAACTAATTTATTGTAATGATATTAATTTGAACTTCTATTGTTTTTTACTTATTGAATAAAAAAAAGTTTTATTTATTTTACATTTTAATTTAGTTTAAACTTCTGTTTTTATGTTATAATTTGATCTTAATATGTAACAGTATTTTATGTATGTATTTGTTCATTAAAACAGTCATTAATTTTTTGTATTTGTACTTATTTTACTATTTAATAATACTTGTTTTTAATAATTCATATCTTTCTAATTTTTTTTCTATCTTTTTTTGAGTAGTTTATCTTTTGTAAAATATTAAATCCCTGGATTATTTAGCAATGTTTCGAAATTCATTATGTTCTGATCAGAACTATTTGCCTTTACTATGATTCTTTTATAGTGCTGCTTATGGAACATATTTCTTTAAGAAAAACAATTTAGTATTACATTTTTGTATGTTTAGCCCTTTATCGCACATATAGATGATAGAAAATACTACTAGAATTATGCATTCTGTTTTCTATGAATCGCACAAGTTCCTAATTTTTTATGAAAACGCTAAACAATCTTAATTTTTTATGGATTTTAAATATTTAGGCTTAGCACTCTGTTTCATACCAAAAAATATTAAATATTTAATTCTATAAATTTAAAGTTTGTTATTGAAACTGCTATAATAGAGGTTCATACATAGCCATTATCCTGGGATCCATTGAACAATTTTTATATTAACTTTTAGGTTTCCCAAGTTTTTTGTTCACTTAAATAAAATCCTAAATTCTTAAGACTTGTGTTTGTTGTTACTTAACTAGTTATTAACATAATAGTATTAAATGTCTAGTATTGGAATGGGATTCATAAAAAAAAAAATTAAGAGGCTATGGTAAATATAACTGTCTGATTTTCTGATAGGTAAGAGAAAGAAATACCAAAATATATTCATATTGAATACTTAATAGTTGACCATTGTATTATCAAGGAAGGAGATGGTCTGGGGTGGCGGTCATAAATAAATTAAATAGTGGCAAAACTATTTTATTAAAAGTCAACGTTTCGATCCGACTTTGCAGAACTTCAGGGCATGAATAAAGAAGATACAAAAAAAGATATAGAGAATTGTGGAAGTTACATAATATTTAGACAAAAAATTACTAACAATGTGAATAAATTTATTAAAATTATAAAAATAATATAAAACAAGTTTATTCACTGTTTATAATTTTTTGTCTAAATATTCCACAATTCTCTACATCTTTTTTGTATCTTGTCCGTTCTAGCCCTGAAGATCTGCAAAGTCGGGTACAAGGTGATAATTTTAACGATAATAAAATAACGGTGACAACTTTGTGAACAAAGCTATGAAAAATGATATAACAAAGAAATGAAATGGAATATTAAAAGATACAAATCATAAGTGGTAAAAATGAAATGTATAGGATGACGTGGTTGCCTATAAGTTGATGTCCTAATATTCCCAGAGACAGTGAAATAAACTGAATAATTCTGAAAAAAAAACATAATATAAAAAGACTTCCTTTTCTTTATTTTTTCTAGATTTAGTTTTCCATGCATTTATTAATGTTGACTTCCTACATATCATTTACTATGCTTTTTTACCTACTATTACTGTCCATTATTTTCTCAATATTTATAAGTCCTCTTGTCTTTGTTTAGCCTTGATGAAGGATTGAACAAAATGTAAGCACAAAGGAAATAAAAATAGATTTTTTTTTCGTACTTTCATTGACTGAAAATTGCAATCAGCTTCTCTTCAATTTAAATTGATGTAATATTGATTTTGAAATTTTAAACAAAAATAAACTTTTGGAGGGATTATTTAACACTACAATAACATGTGTAGATAACATCTATTAACTTATAATTATTTGCTTAGGATATTAACAATCCAGGAAACGAAGGATATTGATAGCAGCTAAGATTCTGATGACCTAAAGAATTAGAGTGCTGCCTGTTTTAACAATCTCATGTCTAACGACACGGGTTCAAATCCGGCCTGAAAGGGTTTATTTTTGTTTTGTTTTAGACTCACAGAATAAATATTGACCTTTCAATCAGCTTAGAATAGGTTTGGTTGTACCTCTATAACAAATTCCCTTCATATGCCAGAAATGGCAAGGTAAGGTTTAATATAATAAAAAAACCAGAAGGGTATTGTTCCTAGGGGCTCTTAATACTTCATTATAAATATTACATACGATATATATATTGCATATATACATACATATTTATTTTAGAAATAAATATATTCAATTAATTAGAAATAAATAGAATTAATTTATTAAAAGTTGTAGTGTGGACCTCGTTAATTCCACCATAGTTATAGTTTGATTTAGACACAAACCAAAATTTAATAACTGCAGCTATAGCATTTTTATATTACCAATGTTTATTTAACTTTAATAAGGCACTAAAAACACTTCCTTCCATTATTTGACTAAACATCAGCAAGCTGATTTGAATATTTAATGGATTCGAGAAAAGAATAAATTACTTTTTTAATTGACTTCATAATACATATTCATTGACAAAAAGGGAATAATTCATTGGGCATATTGAGAAACAACTTTGATTTAAAAATTTTAATTTTTTGAAATTTAATAACCAACACACTAATTGATTAAATATCGATACAAACACCAACATATACAATATTTTATTAAGAATATTATAGTAATAAAAAATAAGTTGCAAATTAACTTAAAAACAATTAATCCATCCTGATATTATATACACAACACACACACTCTAATATTAACATCGATCGATCAAATCAAATAACTTACTTATACATATTCACATTAACAATTTACACCACAATAAGTCACAGCCACACTAACATATCGTGAACTGGTAAGGTTTTAACAACAAAAATATAATTAAGTCTAAACTGACTTGTTCTATTATTTTATGCAGTCTTTGCCTGAACTAATCTCCTGGCCAATAATAAATTATAAGATGCTTGTTATCTGTTTTTCAGAATTAATGCAACAAAATATACATAAACGTTTTTTAAAGAAACATGAGGAAGATACATCAACAATAAAATCGCTAAAATAAATTTAAAGACAAAATATTTATTGGATTATCTATTTTACCGAATAACAAACAATAAACTTTCCGTAACTACGAAGAATTCTTCCATTTATCAAACTTTTCGATTCTCCTCTGGCGAACAACATTTTGTTCACTACCTAAATTTTGATCTTCATCATTTGATGATGCGGTGTCACTACCTGAAGTTTCCAGGCGAAGAGATTTTTTGGCTTTAGCAATAACTTCTTCACTTTTAGAGAACAACGTCTTTATATCAGATGTCCCCGCTTGATCATTATTAATGTTTGAATCTGGCACATCATCTGCTGATGTAGGCATGGTGGTAGAAGCAGCAGGTCTTTGTTGAGCTAAAGCAGTCACTGAACAATATTGCTGCATCATAACAACTGATGTATCTAAAAGAGTTTGAATGTTCTGTAAACAATTGATTCTCGCCTCTAATCCAACTCGCATCTGATTTTCAAGGATTCTAAGCTCTTCATCAGAGAGACTTCCAAAAGGGGGCAATGGCGGTGACAAAGTGAACACTTGTGGAAATATAAACTGATTGAAATCAGGTATTGAACCATCATTAGGAATTGTAGAAGATCCCGGTGCAGAACCAATATTTTGATTAGTATTTGCATTCTGTTCACTCGATGTTGGGCTGTTTGACGGACGTTGATCATTAACTCTATCTTGAGGTATAGGATTGGGCTGAGGGTTCAAAATTGGAGTCCTTAAAATATTAAGTCGGCAAGTTGGACATGTCTGTTGACGTTGGAACCAGGATCTTAAACAAGTAGTATGAAATATGTGATTACAGGGCAATTTTTTAGAAGCAACACCAACCTGCATTTCTTCTCGACAAATAATACATAGGTTATCTTCAGCTGATAATTCTTCAGGAGTAGCATCAGGATAAAGTGTATTCATATTTCTGATAGCCCTTCTTGACATAACAACATCATTGAAAGCTTTTCTAAATTCTCTGATGGTATAATACATTGAACGAAGAACAAAAACAGGTAGTGTATACATCCTAAACATAATAAAAGCGAATAAAGCATAGAGGGTTACCTTCATAAAACTCATGATTAATTCAGTATACAATAGAAAAACAGCTTTGTGTTCCCAAGGCACTTGACGGCGAAGATCAGCAAAGTGGAGGATATATTTAATAACTATATTAAGTAAAGCGGTAAGTGATATGGCATACTCAAATCCAAAAACTAGTTGAACTGAGGGTCCCTTGGTAATAGTAGAATGATAAGCGTACATTATAAAGTTCACGTCTAATGAACAAAGAACTGCCAGCAAAGAAATAATTCTTACATGAAACAGCACTGATATCACAGGACTTCTTTCCATAAAGTCAATTCTTTCCTCAGCAAGCCAATGAAAGGATTTCAAGAAGAACAGTAATATAAATAGGGCAACAAACTTAGGAGTAAAGTCATCTCTAAATACTGTAAATGCAAGACAAGTTTCAGTTACAGTGTACCAAGCTCTTTCCATCAAGTGTTCCACTTCTATGGGGCGCAGATCTCCAAAGAAAACTTTTTTCAGTATCTTTCCGACCATGATCATCAAAATAAAGGTTTGTAAATATAACACTGCAATACCTGGATTCGATTTGGTTATGTGAACAACAGTTGGATAAAACTGTTTTTTCTGATAATATGCATGGGCCACAACAGCACTTGTAAGAAGAAGACTTGAAACTGTAATAAGTAGAGGTTTCATGATGGTAACTGGGTTTGAATTATTTTAAAAAATAGTATTCTCTGTATTTTTAACTGATAATTCCAGAAACTCTAAAACCTGGTTTTCATTCAAATGTCAAAACAAAATGTAACAACTTGATGGGACACTACTCTGACGTGTCTTCTCATTGTTTGTGGAAACTAATAACATGAATTCCAGACTTTTCCATCATTTTAAAATAACAAACTACACCACTGTTTGTTTTATCATTTCCTCACAAGGGGAAGTTGTTATTACGGCAACAGTTTCAACGGCACTAACAAAATAAAAAAATTATTTAGTATTAATGAAATGTAAATATTATCATTCGGAGACACTGTGATATCAATGTAAGTCAAACGGGAGGTTACTGATAAGGCGTATCTCATTTTGAAACCATTATTGGAATACACCTTTACAAACCTGTTCAAAACAAAGTTTATTTCGGACTTAATTGACAACCATTATATCCTAATCTTTATAAAATTAATCATGTCTTTTTAGAGCTGGAGGAGGTGAATATTCAAAAGTTTAACTAGAAATTTGTTGATACATTTTTATAAATTATTCCAAAAAATTTATATTCTCCATCTCTATCAAAACCTAAACGAATATAAATTAATGTAATTATAGTTATAAGGTGACACATACATATGTTAGCCTCTCTTTATAATGTGATATAACAATTGAAATAATTTCAATATTAATTTATATAATTGCTAGAATCAAAGTAAAAGACGAGTGAGCCTTGGTTTATCAGACGTAAATATACATTACGTAGGAATGAGGAGACATTTTTTAAAATGATTTATTTTACACCTAATGATATTTGATTTCTGACTGATCAACTCTAAACTTTTACACTTTATTTAATTGAACCCATGATGATATTTTATATGATATTTTTCAATATATATTAAAATAAATTTGTTCGTAATAAAGTTCTGTAAACTGAAATCACAGGCGGATTTACGGGGGGGGGCTTTCGGGCTGAAGCCCCCCCCAAAATGGTAAAATGTAACCATGTTTTATGGTCAAATATATTAAAAAATTATGTCTTAAAGTATTATTGCTCGTTCAATTACATTTAATAAGACTTCAAGAATCACTCAAACACCATTTCATATAGGTAGTTAGTATCTAACTGTTTTTCCAAAGTAATTATCGTTATATATATGAAAAAAAGAGCTTCCGGGCTGAAGCTCCCCCAAAATTGAATCCTGGATCCGCTAGTGACTGAAATGAATCTAGTAGTTATACCTTAATTTTTCTAGTATAATTGGATAGCTTGCTAGACTGAATGACGTGTACATTTCTTAATACTGAGGTGCTAAAATTAATTGACATTAAGTTATGTCAATAATTGAAACATTGCCGTTCTTTTAATTGTAGAATCACTCTATATTTAGGAAAATAGAAGTGTAAAGAAGAAACACTCAGCTATTTTACCATTCTTTAGTTTAAAACTAATCTGAATGATTATTGAACAAATATTTAAATAAATAGACAATATTTATCTTTTTGTTTAATTTTATAAATTTTCAAAACTTCATAAATACAGTTTTCTTTTACAGAATAGATAAAATATGTTAATTTAGCACACCTGTCAATGGCAAAACTGTTTCTTTTTTAAGACATGCGTCTGCAGGTTGAAAATTGGTTGCTTTGACAAAACTTCAACATACGTAAATTGTTTATAAAATGGTGGTTATACATAGACTTGTGCTTTTCGTGTTAAGAAATGCTTGAATTGAAACAAGATACTACAAAATGCATCCTCACGCGAAGATGGAATACTTCAAACCCAGTCCATGCCTTAAAATTGATAACATAACTGTTATCAAACACTGACAATTGGAAAAATGAATTCTCTACCTCATTTTATTATTATGAAAGCGTAATAGGTATTAGTTTTCATGATTTTTGATTAAATCCTACCAATAAAGTGCTATCACATTAATGTCAGAACAAATCAATTTTTTATTTTAATAAATAATAAGGAACTTCTTGTGTTTTATGTCAAACTATTTTATTTTAGTGCTTTGATCTTATGCAATGGACGGGATAGCAGGAAGTTCCGCAGATTTCAGCAGCACCTTGGCTAAAGTTTGGAATCAATGTATGTAGTAATGCTCTATAGTATTATTAATGCCTCATTTTATTTCATACCAGTTACTAAAGATACTATGTTAAAGTTGATAGAACAGGTTTGAATTTACTGCACCTCTTATTGAGGTTTCGATTTTTCAATATGCTTTCAATTAAGTTAGCAAATTATTCAACTGTGATGTTTCTTCATCTCAATCATACAGTAGTCAACATGTCATTTATGACTTATAAGGGATTAAAATGTTTTGATTTGTTATTGATTCTTTAAATTTTTATTAAATTAAATAATCAAAGGGTTCATGCTGTTCTGATTATTAATTATCTCGGTTGTTAAGCTCGTCCCTGATGATCACTCAGCTCCAAGCAAAATGGAACTTGGAACCTACTCTGATTATGAAAAATCCTGTGTAGTTTTTTGAGTAATATGTAGAAGCTGGAATTACATCAGCCCTAAATTCCTTATGCCACAGTAAAATCCAGTTACTACATGCTCTGTGATTGTGGAAAAGGGATGCAGTGGAACATAATACTGCTCTGATTTTTAGGCTGTTCTATAGCTATTATTGTTATTATAATAGAGTATGTTCATTTAGGTTTTTATTTAAATATAATTTTCGTATTATTCAGAAATAATCCTTATTTTTATTGACTGGGATCGTAGTACATAATTATGGGTATGGAATTGTGTTGAAAATGTCCTATAGAGGTGTGAATCACTACCTGTCAGTAAAACATGGAAAGCTGGAAAGTGTGCTCTTAAAATTGTGTTCAGTCATAGCACTCAAGTGGCTGCACTTCCATAGTTTCATTTGGATTGATTGACAGTGACTATATTTACAAAATTACAAGTTACCTGTAAGGTACCTTGCAGCCAAAGTAATGTCTGTCCTGCATGCTATTTTCTCTTATCCAATTGCATTTTTGTGGTGTCAAGTGCCAATATAAATACTTTGATCAGTTTATGCCTGATAATGAAAATTTTAAGACAAAAAAGATGTACCTCTCTTCTACGAGTCACGATTTGTTTAGATCCTCTTCAGTTTTTTTCACCCGCTTGCCTTGTGATTGGTTCAAGATCACATTTATCACACTGTATGCAGAATTCCAAAATTATCCAAATGTATCGGAAAGTAAATGGAGGAAACTGTTCCTTTCCCTCCCCATCCTCCTTATGCCTTATGGTCATGGCTCTTTCACTATTAGGCCTCCTGTAGTCCAATAAAGTGTTAAAACACCAGAATTGTAACCAAAGTGTCACTGTACCGATGGGCTGGTATGGGGCAACAGTGTTTCTATACTTTCCTCTATAATTTTGTTGCAATGAGGACAGCCAGGGGCATGACCATTCCGGAATCCCGATTAATTATGATCTCAAGATCCCATTGATAGATTGATATCCAGGTTCTGGATAATTATGCGGTTATTAAAATTAATATTGCTTCAATTAAATTATGGCAGTCAGTTACCTTACTCAACAATTAAATGAACCCCCTTAGTGGTTCCTTTTCAGTTGAGGTGTGATCTTACCAAGTGGTTTATGTGATCTTGACCCACATACCATGTAGAGATAACGTTCCAGAAGAATTGTCTTCTTTTTTTTTTTTTTTTCTTTAGTGTATGATTGGGCTTGTCAGATATATTTTCTATTTCAACTAATGATATTAATTGAACTTTTCTAGGTAAAAGATGTGATGCATTGGATCGGATGCTTCAACATCACTTTGAATCCAGTGGGAATCCTTACGAAAGTGTCCTAATTTTAATTAGACAGTCCCCTGACTATAGCCTTTCACGCCCAAATGGTCTTTCATTTACTAGTAAGGTTTATAATTTTTAAATCATTATTAAAAAAAAAAAAACTTTTATATTATTATAATTGTCTCATTTGTTGTTTACTTTCCACAGTTATTAAGCAATTCGCCAGTTGGATTAGTTATAGAAGAGAAAATTATAAACACTGCCTTACTGAAGAAGTGAAACGTGAAGCTTTTCAAGTAGCTTCCAGACAAAGAAATAAAACTATAAGCAAGAGTATTATTGATGTTTATCTTCTTAAAGACTACAAGCACTTGTTTGTGAAATCTCTACATGATAATCTTCAGCTCCATATGTACAAAGAAGTAAATATTAAAATTAGCATTTGGTTATTATGAGATTGACATTGAAATAGAATATTGATGCTCTTGTTTATACCGTGTTCACTGTAAAGTAAAAAAAGGTTTAAAATTTCATTTTTCATATTTGTCAGATTACAGTCACTCTAGAGGGATGGTGATACTTGCAATGCCTGAATGTTGAAAGTTTCATTCACTCAGACATTATTCCTAATAAGAAATTATGTTAAAACTTATTCTGTTTTCAGGACTGATCTACAAAATTGATTTCTTTAATAGAAATAGAATGTCTTATTGATCTGACAATCTTAACAAAAATCATAATTTTAATGTGTAGTTTCATAACATTTTTTGTTATAGTTTCTTCATTCTAAATAAAATATTTCTTATTTGATATCTTTATTACTTTACATCCTCAATTTTTTTTTATTATATAATTATGTTTCGCTTGATGGCGCTTTTGGAAAAATGCAACAAAATGTTGCTGTAATTGTCTCTTTTCTATTTTCTTCCTTTAATCTACTCTTAATACCATTTTTTATTTTTCAAAATTTAATTTATTTTTCAGTAACCAGATAATTATGATTTTATATTTGTTTCTCTCTTCATCACAATATATAATATTTTCATATTATTTATCTATCAAAATGCTATTTCATAATTTCTTTATAAATGTAAATATATCTACATTTTCAAAGTGTTAATTAATTTTTTTTGTTATTACAGGTATGTGAGTGGTCCATGATGCTGGATTTAGAATCTGAGTTTGGTATTTTTGATTTTATTGTGCCACTTATTTTCCAAGATAAGCTTACAGTTGTTGACGATTTCCTTAAGAAGAACCGTACTCATCATTTAGAATTGATTAAATTCTTAGATAATATTTTGTCCCAGAGATGTATTTCGAACTTCATTGATCAGCTAATAGCGTGAGTCACTTGTTTTAGAGAAATATTTAATTCCTCTCTACTATCGTTGTTAAGGTTGAAATAAAACGGTTAAAATTAACTTTGATTTCCTCCGATTTAGAGACTTGAAGATAGAAAGTGTCAAGCATTCCTCGTTGCCTAAACTCTCTCAAACGAAGCCCTTGTGCAAGCTGTTGAAGAGATTTGCTTCCATACACAATATCCCTCCTGAGAGTACGCCCAATCTCACTCTCAGGAACGGCATTGGAACTGTTAATTTTCTCATCCGGAAAAGATATTATGACCGCAGTTTAAGTAAGTAAAGTATAGCTACTTGTCTCTCAAAAGTCATTCAGGGTGGCGACCGACCTGGAACAAAGGGAAAAATCAGGGAAAAATTGTTAAAGTTAGGGAATTTTTTTAGTACATAAATATACAATGTGTGTCGTTTATGATGGCCTTGAATGGGTTGACTTCGTCGTTATAAAAGACCACGGTCACTTTATTCATCCACCTTTAACTGTCAATAACACCACTGGTCAATATATTGAAATCAAACAAGGGTAATGAATAAAATTATAGCAAATATTTTTTGTTATGAAGTATTAAACTTCTTAACGGCAATTCTGTCTTTAGATAAATGTACATTAGAACATTTTTCGATCTATGAATGTAGAGTCCGGTTAAACATCTTAAAAATTGCGTTTCACCTCATTGAATATGTCAGCATTATGATAATTCTCACGAATTTTCAGCTAAACTTAATTCCATTTATTGGTTAACTGAAAGAGAACGTTGTCAGCTTCACAGCTAATTTTTTTAAAATCAGTGTTTTGCTGGGAGGAGAATCTTTGTAGACGTCCTTGAAAAATGTTAGTTTGAGATGCATGAAATGGACCGTGAATTGGTTTTAATTTAAATATTCGTTAGTCATTTTGTGTAAAACCTTAACCCTAATAGTAGTGTAGTATAAGAAGAACCAATTTTGTCGTTGCTAGATCGTCGTTTTTTGGATTTAAAAGATTTTTAAAATTTTTTCAAATTGTTGATAGGCTTAAGCTTAATTCTTGAGCCAGGCTACTGTTGGACTTGTCGCTCTCCAGTCGGAAGCATATATGGAATTTTTCTTCCCAGGAAAAACTTCTAGCTCTTCCATATTCTTATAACAGTGCTAAACAGAAATATGAATTTAACACTAAGAGTGTGTAGTGGTAGTTAATATTGGCAAATAATAGATACCTTTATATTATTTATACTTATTTTGCATTATATTTTTAGTTAATTCATGTGATTACGGTGGTTCAATTCTTGGCTGGCAAGCACTCATTCGTTTGACCTGTGGTGCTTCTTAAAAGAGCTTTTATTAACCAGAAATGTCACTTTTGGTGTCTTATCGATAATTTTTACGCTCATTATAGTAATAAAGTGTGGCATGACAGAGAAATTCGATCCCACTGGTTTGAAGAGGACTACGAAGCTGCTACAAACCAGAAGAACCAAGCATATAAGGCCATGATTAATAAAGCCACAAGGAGAAACGTTGATGAATATCGGTTGAGAAGACACTAGGAGAAACGTCTGCATCGCCGAAAGAAAAGAAAGTGGAAGCAAGAGGAACTGGAGAAGACAGAAACATTTTTCGGAGATAAGGGATTCGGAGATTTTTATAGGAATATAAATAGGAGCCGAAAATCCTACTCTAATGTCTCTTACATCTGCAACGATCATGAGGAGAATCTGCTTTCTGACAAGCAGAGAGCCCTGTCCCAGTGGAGGTGTCACTTCAATGAGCCACCCATGGAACATGATAAGGAATTGGGGAGAGAAGATAAGGACCACAGAGAGAAAGAAACAGATGATGAGCCACCTTTTAAAGATGAGATCCTGGATGCCATCAACCAATTAAAATGTAACAAGGCTGCGGGTACTGATGGACTCTCCGTAGGACTCATCAAGTGTGGTGGAAATGAACTGGTGAAGGATATGCAGGATCTCCTCATCACCGTTTGGACAGATTAAGTATTACTGGACCCGTGGACCAAGTCATTCATCTGTCCTATATTTAAAAAGGGCGAACGACTAAAGTGCTCCAACTATAGAGGGATCTCCCTCCTGTCTGCCAGATACAAAGTCTTGTCAAACATCCTCTTTGAAACATTACTTCTGAACAGGATTGGACGTGACAAAGTGCTAGCCATGCACTCTGACACTCTAATCCGGGAATATCAGGACCATAAATCTGGGGTTGAGATAGATAGCAGCAGACAACACAAACCAAAAAATGGTATTAATTGTTGTACAGATGGCTCTCTAACAGCCTATGGCTCAGGAGCTGGCATCTATCGTAAAGATAACAAAGAAACAGATTCTGTACCTCTTGGCAGATATGTCTCAGTGTTTCAATCTGAGATACTAGCAATTTGCCATTGTTCACAAAACCTACTGTGAAGCAATGTGACTGGGAAAAAGATTACAATCTATACTGACAGTCAGGCAGCAATAGGTACTCTAAACAATTATTATGTGTATTCAAAGGTCGTTAAAGAATGCAACACAACACTTAACAAACTGACTGAGCACAATAGAGTTGCAGTGGAGTGGGTGCCCGGTCACTCGGGCATACTAGGCAACGAGGAGGCTGATGTACTAGCCAGATTGGGCTCAGATACCATTCCCGTAACTCCTGAACCTGTTTGTGGAATCAGCCTTAGTACTGCCAAAAGTAGGATTAGGGAGATGTATGGGAACCTATTTAAAAAATACTGGACTGATAAGAAACAGCGACATTCGAAGCTGTTCCTTAAAGGTCCATGTGAAAAAAAAAGCAAACTGCTAGTGAGTATGGACAGAGAAGCTCTTAAAAAGCTTACAGCAATCTATACAGGACACTGTAAGCTAAATTACCATATGTTCAATCTCCGAGTAACGACGAATCCGCTATGCAGATTCTGTCAAGAGGAGAATGAAACAGCCTTTCACATTGTGTGTCAATGTGATAGATTCGTAAGGCTGAGAGTGGAACTATTTGGGGAGGAACAAATGAATCTCCCCGGTAGATATGAGGCAGTCAATCCAACCAGCCTACTGAGATACGCGGAAGCGGCAAAAATAACGTTTTGATAATAAACAAATAACTGACCCTTCACAATAGACCCTTCAGGGATCGATGTGCCCTGATCCAACATTTATAAAAAAAAAAAAAAAAAAAAAAAAAAACAACTTCCTCTTTAAGTGTTTGCTTGCCCCATGCTGCGGAGAGGGTGCTCTGCCGATTCAGAAAAGGCAGGTCCACGACCGATCAGATATTTTGCCTCAGGATGATTCTCGATTCTCGAGCGAGGAAGGGAATTCAAGATTAAAACTGACCACCTCTTCATCGATTTTAGAGCAGCTTATGATAGCAAGAATAGGGAAAAATTGTATGAGGCTCTAAAGCATTTTAAGATCCCAAGCAAGCTCATAAGCCTCGTGAGGCTTACAATGAACAACGTAAGCTGCATGGTTCAGATCAGTGGAGAGACATCGGAGGAATTCCCCTCAATAAAGGGATTATGCCAGGGAGATGCCTTAGCCTGCCTTCTCTTTGATCTTGCACTCGAGAAAGCAGTGAGAGATGCTGGGATACAGATAAATGGCAACATCTTAAATAGATCTGTACAGCTCCTTGCGTGGATATAGATATAGGACGTTCCTTCCAGGCTGTATCGGACGCTTTCCATGCTCTGGTGTGTCCTGCGAGAAGACCTGGCTTGGAAGTCAATGCTGAAAAAACAAAATATATGGTTACGGGAGAGATGCGTAGGCCTGGAGAGTAGGTAACTTTCGGGGAGTACCAATTCGAGAAAACTAATGTTTTTGTCTAACTTGGCTCATTGGTAAATCAAGACAACGCACCTGAACAAGAGATTCCGCATAGGATCATTGCAGCAAATTGGTGCTATTTTTCTATGGCAAGACAGTTCTGGAGTAGAGCTCTTTCCAGGAAATCGAAGCTTTGTCTTTATAAAACGATACTGCATCCAGTCTTGCTGTATGGTTGTGAGACTTGGACTACCTCCCGGGCTTGGGAACAGGAACTCCTAGTCTTTGAAAGAAGAATCCTCAGACGCATATATGGTGGTGTTCTCATCGGAGGAGAGTGGAAAAGGAGGAAAACCAGGAGCTGTACATCATGTTTAAGGAGTCCGATATAGTTCCAGTGATGAAAATTGCAAGACAGATAAGCAGGACACTTCGTTAGGATGGGCCGTGAGGATCCACCAAGACAATTACTGATGGAGCCACTCCATGGTGTCAGGAGAAGAGGAAAACCAAAGCTTTGATAAGCTGATGGTGTTGCTGCTGATGCAGCAAATATGCTGGGGCTTCGGAATTGGATGGTAGCTGCAGGGGACTGAGACGATTGACGGAAACTGCTGTAGGAGGCCGCCAGGATTCTACACTTGGTTATAGAGCCACGCTAATGATAATAATAATAATAGTAATAAGGAAACTAAATTACTTATGAGAAACTACATTAATTTTAGAATCTCCCGTTGCTCACTTTATTTTATAATATGGGTGATAAATATTCAGGACGCAGTCATTATAAGGTTTTTATTAGTGCCGACGTTTCAACCCAAACATGTGGGTCATCATCAGGGCATGGTTCGATCACTGAAGATATTCAAGTACTATTTATTCAGTCCTTGAATATCTTCAGTGCTCGAACCACACTCTGATTTCACATGTTTGGGTTGAAACGTCGGCACTAATAAAATCTTTATAATGACTGCGTCCTGAATATTTATCACCCACGATAGGTAGAACAGTCTACTAACTTCCTTCAATAATTTTATAATAGAGAAAAACAGAGCTTTATATGTCAAGTATCAACTTTTTCCTTCTGAAAATAAAATGAAGGCGATAAAAATAAATCACTATAAGTTTAGTTTTCTAATATAAAAAATCCTAATCAACCTTAAAAAATTTCTTCCTCTGTAACATGTTTGTTATTTAAAAGAATGATTTTTTTTACTCAGATCATTTTTAAATATATTTTCTTTCATGAATAATAAATAAATTTGGTTATGAATGATAAATTTTTAATATTTGTGTCCCCAGACATATTGGTGAGGGAAAATTATCATTAAATAGGGAAATTTCAGGGAATTTTACAACTGTCTGGTAGCCACCCTCAAATTAGTAACTGATATTACAAACAAAAAATAAATAAAAGTACAGTAAGATGAAATGTATTATTTATATTTTTGGTAATTAAAAAAATATTTTAAAAGTTAATAATTTTTTAATAATACTAGTTTCCTATAATTTTAATATTTTGTTATCAAACATTGTTTTGTTCCCGAACTCAAATAAAAGTAATCGCTATGTAGGATGGTTTTTTGACCAAAACATTATTATCAATATTTTATAAAGTTTTTAGAAAAAGTAATGCTATTTATGAAATGTATTTTTTATGACTTTAGAAAAATACTTTTTAGTATTTTTGGTAACTTTAATACGCCGCTGTAGAAGATATTAAAATAAAAAAGTTGTATTAAAATTAATCAGCACTTATACCTTAGCAAGATAGTAAAGATACTCTTCTCCCATTCCTCCACTCTTCTACTCTTCTATAACTTAGCTTTCACTAATTGGCAATATACTTTCTATGAATTACCATTTAATGTGAATTTCTTGGAAAATGTTTTAACAACTTTTATAACTCTTTTTATAAATAAACTTAAATAGAATTATCAGGGAATAGTCTTTTTTGATTAAAATTTAAAAGCTATTTCTTGCTGTGTTTCTTAGTTTTTGTTTATTTTTCATTAGAAGGTTTTTTTTAAAATATTATATGCTGTGATTATTTTTATATGAAACTAGGTATAAAAACCATAATTGTTGTATTAAACAGGCAAAGAGGCATTCCGTGAACTGGTGAAAGATGCTTGTGGTTCGAGGAGAGAGGTTATGATCCACTTGGTGAACAGGCTCGACGAAGAACAAGATCCGACTGAAGCCTTGATTTGTGCACGCCTTTTCTCTGTTCCTCCTTCTGATATGCCTCCAAGTGTCAGAGCTCTTGATGAAAATGGCTGGAGGTGAAAAATCTATTGTTATAAACTATTAATTCTTTCATCCCTTGATTGAGTCAGTAATACATATTCATCCAGAAAGAAAGGTACATGACTCAAAAACTATTTTTTGGTTGAAACAAATATCAGACGCATGCTATGAATATTTTCTCTTAGCTCATCTTGTTGGCAGATCACTTATTTATTGTGTCTATCGATTTATTTTGATATGTGAGAACTGGCCTCTGCTTGGTATAATAGAGATGAGAGTGTTAACATTTTTAATGTTAGAAAATTTGAGTTTAGCCTCTTTGATTCTGGGTGTAATAATAAATAGGTTCCCCACCTATGGTGTAGCCTAATTATTATCCTTTCTGTAGTCCACCCATGTTTAGAAGTACTAAGTTTTTAGCATATTAATAATTTTAACTTTCTCTTAGAAATAATGAAAATAAAAATTGAAAAAGTCTTAAATTGATAGAAATGATGCATAATTTTCACATTTTAGGCCCTCCGCTCACGAGGCGAGAAAACTCGAGGAGAACTGTGCGTCAAGCTTAACTTACTCGTCATGTGTGTCAAGTGCCTCCCCAACGAGGCGAGAAAAATCGAGAGTTGCACTCGACGAACTGTGCGTCTTATGCGATTTTAGCTACAATATATATGTATATTAATACTTTTTAATATCGGGAATGAAGACTTTGTTTTTCACTGTTAAAACAATTTTTCGGCAATGTAGAAGTAGACGAAAATAAGAAAATAGTGTAGATAATTTTCTAAATTTTCATTAGATTTTTCTCTTTTATCTTGTGAATAGCTGATAGGATTTTTATCATTGATTTTCTAGTGGTCCAACCATTTTCGACCACAAAAAGTTGGCAAAGATAAGGAAATACTGTAGAGAATTTTCCGAATTTTCATTCGCTTTTCCTCTTTTATTTCGGAAATGAATGCTCGGATTTTCACTGTTCTAATCATTTCCCAACTTTTAAGAGGTAGGCCAATGGAAACTGTAGTGGTACAAATATTCCTAATTTTCTTTGGCTTTTCCTCTTTTATAATGGAATGGACGGTCGGTTATTCATTGTCCCAATAATTTTCCAACTGTTTGGAGTTTGGCAAAAATGGGGAACGAGTGCAAACCTTTTCCAAATTTTCATTCGCTTTCTTCTTTCATCTCGGAAATGAAGGATCGGTTTTCTAGTGTTCCAACCATTTTTCGGTAATGTAAAATTAGGCGAAAATAATGAAATAATCTAGAGAATTTTCATTCACTATTCCTCTTTTATTTCGGGAAAGGATGCTCGGATTTTCACTGTTCTAACCATTTACCAACTGTTTAGATGTAGACCAACCTAAATTGTAGTGGTACAAATTTGTTGAATTTAGATTCGCTATTCCTCTGTTATTCGGTGAATAGATGATCGGTATTTCATCGTCTCAAATATTTTTCAGCTGTTTAGAGTTAGGTGAAAATTAATGAAAAAGTGCAAACATTTTATGAATTTTCTTTCAGTTTTCTCATTTTTCCATGAGTTTTTTCGGCAGTTTAGAGATGAGCAAAAATGGGGAAATGGTGGAGAAAGGTTTCCGAATTTTCATTCGTTTTTCCACTTTTCTCTCATGAATGGATTTTCACTATTCCAACCATTTTGCGAACTGTATAGAATGGAGACAGTAGTGGTACAAATTTTCCGAATTTTCTTTAGCTTTTCCTCTTTTAGTACGTGAATGAATGCTCAGTATTTCATCATTACAACAACTTTCAAGCTGTTTTATTTTGGTGAAAATGTGTAAAAAGTGAAAATTTTTATGAATTTTATTTCTTATTCCTTTTTGAACTCGCGAACGAAGGGTCGGTTTTCAGTTCTCCAACAATTTTTCGGCAATGTTTAGGTAGGCGAAAATGGAAAAATGGTATAGATAATTTTTCGAATTTTCATTCACTTTTCCTCTTTTCAAACAATTTTCGAACGTTCAAGCGAGGAAAACTGTTCCAAAAAATGTTCCAAATATTTTCCTAATTTTTAAAGATAGGCCAATGAAAACAATATTGGTGAAAATTATCAGAATTTTCATTCGCTTTTCCTCATTTATCTCTAAAATGAGTACTCGAATTATCATTTTTCCAAACTATTTTCAGCAATGTAGATGTAGACAAAAATAGCGAAATGCTGTAGAAAATTTTCCAAATTTTCCTTCGCTTTTCCTCTTTTATCTCCTAAATGAGAGCTTGGATTTTTAATGTTCCTAACATTTTCCCAATTTTTAAAGATATGCCAATGAAAACATTATTGGTGAAAATTATCCGAATTTTCATTCGCTTTTCCTCATTTATCTTCTAAATGAGTGCACGAATTTTCACTGTTCCCAACTTTTAAAGATAAGCCTATGAAAGCAGTATTGGAGAATATTATCAGCATTTTTCAGAATTCGGAAAATTTCTGCACTTCTTTATAATTTTCGCCCAAGTCTAAACAACTGTAAAATTGTTGGGACGATGAAAAACCTAGCGTCCATTCACGTAATAAAAGAAAAAAACGAAACAAAATTCGGAAAATTTGTATCAATACTGTTTCCATTTCTCTTCCTCTTAACGGAATGATTGGAATTGTGAAAATCCGAGCACTAATTCAAGAAATAAAAGAAAAAAAACGAAAGAAAATTCGGAAAATTCTTTACACTATAAATTCATTTTCGCCTACTTTCACATTGGTGGAAAATGGTTATTACACTAGAAAACCGAACCTCCATTCCCGAGATAAAAGGAGAAAAGCAAATGAAAATTCGGAAAAGTTTTGCACTCGTTTCCCATTTTCGCCCAACTCTAAACAATTGGAAAATTGTTGGGACGATGAAAAACCTAGCGTCCATTCACGTGATAAAAGAGGAAAAACGTAAGAAAATTCGGAAAATTTTTATCAATACTGTTTCCATTCCTCTTCCTCTTAACGAAATAATTGGAATTGTGAAAATCCGAGCACTAATTCAAGAGATAAAAGAGGAAAAGCGAAAGAAAATTCTTTACACTATATCTTTATTTTCGCCTACTTTTACATTGGCGGAAAATAGTTATTACACTAGAAAACCAAACCTTCATTCCCGAGATAAAAGGAGAAAAGCGAATGAAAATTCGGAAAAGTTTTGTACTTGTTCCCCATTTTCGCTCAACTCTAAACAATTGGAAAATTGTTGGGACGATGAAAAACCGAGCGTCCATTCACGTAATAAAAGAGGAAAAACGAATGAAAATTTGGAAAATTTTCTACACTATTTTCTTATTTTCGTCTACTTCTGCATTGTCTAAAAATTGTTTTAACAGTGAAAAACAAAGTCTTCATTCCCGATATTAAAAAGTGTTAATATGCATATATATTGTAGCTAAAATCGCATAAGACGCACAGTTCGAGTGTATCTCGACTCTTTGTGTTGGCGAATTAAGCGAATTTTGACGAGTTTGACGCACAGTTCTCCTCGATTTTTCTCGCCTCGTGAGCGGAGGGCCTTAGTCATTATCGCGGTTTTGGAATATTTTTAGATTTTCACCGTTTTCTCAATTTTAGCAGTTTTCGCCATTACCGCAGTTTTGGAAATTTCTTGGTTTTTGCCATTTTCGCAATTTTTGCCATTACTGTAGATTCTGCATTTTTACAATTTTAACTATTTTTTTTTTGACATAAAAAAATAGGAATAAGTTGAATAGTCTAAAGATTTTTAAATTTTTCATAGTTTTTGCCATTATAAAAATTGGAATAAATTAGTTTAAAAGTAGTTTAAAATATTTTTAAATCATTCATAATTTTCACTTTTTTAGCAGTATTCTCAATTTTAGCTGTTTTTGTGATTGCCACAATTTTTACAGTTTTCGCTATTTTCATTCTTTTCGTAGTTTTTACCATTTTCATTCTTTCCACGGTTTTCCAAATCATAAAAAATAGGAATAAGTAGTTAAAAGGTGTTAATACTTTCTAATTTAGGCATATTCCCCATTATCAAAAAGAGGAAAAAATTCAGCAGTGTAAAAGGTTTTATAAATTTTTCATAAGTTTAGCGATTTTCGCTTTTTTAGCAGTTTTCTCAATTTTAGCGGTTTTCTCGATTACAAAAAAATAGGAGTTCAGTAGTTTAGGAAGTTTTCATGTGTAAAGCTCACAATTTTTATGTTTTCACTATTATCTTGGTTTTGGTATTTTATAGATTTTTGTGATTTTCACTGTCCTCACGGTTTCTCCATTCAACTATATTCGCCTTTCCCACCATTTTCGCACTTTTCAACATTATAAAAATATAAAAATAAATTCAGTAGTGTACACGATTTTTTTCATAAGTATTTCGTAATTTTCTCGGCTTTTGCCATTTTTGCAGTTTCGGCATTTTTTGTTATTTTTAGGTTTTTGCCGTTTTCTTAATTTTAGAGGTTTTCGCGATTACGTTATTTTTCTATTATAAAAAATAGGAATGAGTTCAGTAGTTAAATAGATTCTTAAATTTTTGTGATTTTGGACTTTTTTGCGATTTTCCCTATTATCGCAGATTTGGCATTTTCTTGGTTTCGCCGTTTATTCAATTTTTATAGTTATCATGATTTCTCTTTATTCCCCATTTTCATTATTTTAGAAATAAGTTTAACAGTTTAAAAGATTTTTTAATTTTTCACAATTTTAGTCATTATCGTAGTTTTTTTTCCAACTATTTTAGTGGCTTGCCATTTTCACCACTTTCGCGGTTTTCGACATAAAAAAAAAATAATAAAAAAATAAGTTTAGATTTTTAAAATTTTCATAATTTTTGCCTTTATTGCGGTTTCAGGATTGCATCATTTTGTTATTTTTATAAGTTTTATAATTTCATCTAATTTTTTCACATTTCTATTCTTTCTCACCCGCATTATAACGAACAATTGGGATGAAACAAATTATTGTCGTCTAAAAAATAGGAATAAATTCAGTAGTTTAGAAGACATTTTTAAATTATATTAAATTTTTCATAATTTTCGCCTTCTTCATGATTTTCTCCATTACAGCAGTTTTGGCATTTTCAAGGTTTTCGCAGTTTTGCCATTTTCACCGTTTTCTCAATTTCGCCATTATAAAAAATGGGAATACGTTCAGTAGTTTAAAAGAGGTTTAAATTTTTCACGATTTTAACCAACATGTGCCTTGGAGACATGGGTCATCAGCGCAAGACACCGAAAAAGAATCCATATTCTCCACTTATGTTATCCTTGGAAGACTTTTTTATAATTACCACCATGCTCCTTGGTTCTTGCTCTAGTTAATTTTTACATACTGATAGCTCTTAATATTGATTTGAGGATTATGGTATTTAAACAATCTTAATAAATAGTTGACAAAATTCCTTTTTCAGGGAAGATGACTTAGCGACTTCAGAGGAACTAGTGGAAGAAGGGCTAGACCGGAATGATGAATATCATAAATTTCCTCTACAACTTTCTTCAATATTTATTATTGACACAGAAGCAGCCTTTTCATCTCTCATTGATTCCTACATTGGTAGGTACGAATGATTAGTTAGAAAACTCTCTCTAACATTTGTTATCTGATATTTTACTATCTATAATTTAATATATCTTCATTTGGTTTTATTTAATGTGTCTCATGGGTGCTAGTGATCATAGGGGCTGTGTTTTCTTCTTGAAAGTGAATAAATAAATAAATATAATTTAAAAGACATTTATGTTTGTTACTTGTTCTCCACGTCATATAAAGAACAATACCTTAAAATATTTGAAAAAAGAACATTAAATAGAATATTTGGCCCCTAAAATGAAGATCTGTTGGAGAATTTAGGAGGCTACAATTTGTTATATCTTAGGGCACATACCTTGTGGATTGAAAGATCTTGTAGAATTGTTGGACCTGTGAATGAATAAATACTTCAAAAGTTTATTCTTCAACTAAACCAACAGTACTAAAGGATAAGGAGAAGGATTATGTCGAGTCTGGCCTTACAGAATTGAGTCTCGACAGTATAGTATGGGTTTTGAATCTTCAGATTCACTGAGCCTATTATTATTATTATTATTGTAAATTATGATTGAAAAAAATAAAACATGTGTCTCTATCAACTAGTATCACTGTTTTCATATTGTTTTGATTTTAAGTTTTAATTTTTATTCCATAAAAGCGGCACTGTAAGCAATATAAATTGGCTTTATTTAAATTCACAAAGCTAGAAAACATCTTGTTTGTTTTTAAAAGTAAATAAAACATTAAATGTTTTTGTAAATTGGGAAATATTAACTTAAGTTTTAACTTTCAACTCTATCCAGCAATGAATAAATGAATGAATATAAAAGGCTGTTCCAATTTCTAGATCACGGTTACAAACCAATGAATATGAAAAAACAAGTGAGGCATTCTTTTGATTTTATGGTTTGGGTACATTCTTTTTGCTAATATCATTACAAGGGAAACCTGGTCACATTCAATTTGGATTATTGAGAATCCATTGTATTTTGTGTTTTAAAATATTTTTGAGGCATTATCAAATTATGGTATGGTCTTTGCATCGGTAATGGTTGGAGTTAAAAACTGTTTTCCTCTGTCAAAATTCTCCCCATTGTTAGTTATTATGATTAAGAGTAAATACAGATATATTTTATAATAATTTATTTATTTTTTAAAATGTTTTCTACCTTTTATATTGCAGATGGAGCTTGTACTATAGGTATTGATTTGGAATGGAAGCCGACGATGGTCGCGCCTGCCGGGGAACTGGCCCTGCTTCAATTGGCGAAAGAAGACAAAGTATTTCTCATCGACGTTCTCTCACTAGCCAATTCTCATCACCTCTGGGGCCAATTCGCTCATGTTTTTCTCAATAACCATGATATTCTCAAAATAGGTATTATATCTTGGTCAATTTAATTCTTTTGATATATTTTTATTTTTAAGTTTGTATGGTATTTTTTATTTCTAGTTTAGCTATTCAATTCTATCATTAGCGTATGTATACATTTCTAAAAGACATGGTACCAACTTTGTTCCTTGATACCTAAAATATGAGTTGAAATTTTTTATTTTGGTGGAATTGTTTTTTTCTCTGGCCCCAATAAAAAGCTTTCCAAATGAACCAAAGAAATACCCAAGATATTTCCAAAATTCAGGAAATTAAAGATTTGAAAACCTACTTCAAACTGCAAAAATTGTGGTAGAACATTTTATTCAAAGAGTTAATTGAAAACTGATATCAAAACCTTTTAATTTAAGAAAATTGGATTTTATCGATACAATGTTGTGTTTGAATAGAAAAAAATATTGTGATTAGGCCTTTCAATAGGAAAGTTTAAAGATAAAATCCAAAAGAGTTAAAAAAATTGAAATATTTTGTTACTGATTAAACTTGTATTATTTTAAATTAATGTATCTGGAAATGTAACTAACTATATATCTTGAAGCTATAAGAATGAGTTCAATGTGTCTGCAATACCATTGAATTAATTCTAATATAGAATTCTGATAATTTTTATTTCTGATAATTCGTATATCTCTATAAATTTGATCCCGGGTCCTCCTGATAATTTGTATTTATTTTCATCTTCGTAGGATTTTAAACATTTTACATTTTGAATTTTAAAAAATCTGATTTGGTCTTAATACTTCAGAAAAGGGGAGGAGAATGAATGAGAGATTACCGTCTCTATGAATTTCTGTTGTTTACTTTCTTCTTTTTTTCTATTCCTATTCTCTCTTTTTTTCAAATGTAATATTATGTTTGAATTTGATTTTGAGAATTTGTCTGAGAAGGTCTAAACAACCTCAAAGAAAAAAAAGAGCGAACAATTTTCCTTTATATTAATAATTGTATGGCCCATATCAGTTTAGTAATTGTTTACGAGAATTTGGATTTATGAAGCAGGAACTGTTGCGAACAGTTGTTGAAAATTTAAATGATTTAGGTTATCCTCTCGTATAGAATCTTGTTTTTTAAAATGGAGAAACTCCTATAACATTCATAGATTTTGTCAATTTTTATGATGGTTTAGCAGTTGCATTTTTTTTGCTCTGCCTGAGGACGTTGGTGAAGAAGATGATATATGCCTTTGATTGCTCCGAAAATGATAAAGCAATACATCAACAACATGCTATCATTTTTTAGTGAAATCAAATGTTATAAAGAACGAAAGAAAGTGAATTTTACTCTGGGACCTCAGAATAACTATAATAAACAATGAAATGACAATTAAAAATAAATTAATTTACAAAGTTGCCTAACCTTAATATTAAAATAAAGAAAAGACACTGTAGTAGGTATATGAGCTTGGAAGATAAATATGAATTTAATTAATAATAAATATATGAATTTAAAGATAAATATACAAGTGAGTTCACGTATTTGTACAATCAAGAAATATGGCTCACACTTAGATATCAGTTAAATGTGGTTGACATCTCTAAAGTAAAAAATAACATTATTTTTACATATATTCGGAGGATTGATTACTGAGGAGATGAAAAAATAAATGGTGTCTAAATGAAGTCAAGAATGAGGATTTACTTATAGAGGTTGATAGAGAATTCTAAAATGAGATAGCACGTATGACGAAGGATTTTGTAAAGGAAACAGTTCTATGAGAAGGAATAAACAGATTTGAGGTATGGGATCTCATTTTGAATGAATGAACCAGAGGAACAAGGAGTAAAGAAATCAATAAGGTAAGAAGGTTTTTTGATTGTAAAGGTTCGGAAAAGGAATACACCTAGGAAATATTGCCGTCGGAAACTGGATAGGGCCACTTCAACTTGGCATAGCAACTGGAGATGTAGATATATTCTCTGCTCTAAACATGCTTGACTAATATTTGTATTCATTTTGTTATTTTTTTAAATAATACTAATTATCAGGATTCTACTGTATTATGAATGTTAATGAATATATCAACAAAAATTATATTTATTTTAGGTTTTGCCATGGGTGCTGATTCAGCAATGTTGGCTCAATGTTTTCCTATTGATTTCGCATTTCGAATGTCTGGGCTTGGCTTTTTGGACCTCTCATCCCTCTGGAACAAACTTGTAAAGGATTACAATTTTGAGTTTCCATACGAAGGTAATTAATAAATTGTATAAGAAAAGTACTTATGTCGTACGAGTGATATGATATATTTTAAATTTTAAAATATTTGATTTTAGCTAACGAAAGCTGTTCGAGTTGTAGCCTAAGCCAGCTGGTGGCTCTCTGTATAGGAAAACCACTCAACAAGAGGGAACAATTTTCCAACTGGGAGACTCGTCCATTAAGGCTGACTCAAAAAGTGTATGCTGGTAAGTTTCAATATTTTATTAAGTCAATTTTTTATTAAATAATTTAAAATTAATTTAATTTTATCTCATTAAAACAAATAAGATTTCCTTATGTGGGAATAAAAACTAATATTTGGTTCTAATACCGAATCCTTGCTCCAAGATTTTCATGATAACTTTGAGCACACTGTAGTTGGAATACTAAAATAACCCGATTGTTTGTGAAAGTTAATTTAGATGTTTGATCCTCGATCCTTTGTAGGGGAAGATTTACTTTAGGTCAGGCTAGGTCAGTTCAAATTTCCATCATGTTCACTTTTTTTTAATGTTTTAATAACAGCTTGAACTTACTGAAATGATTGTCAGCTGTTGGAAACTTTCACTTCTTCCTAGGATATAAATATTGAAATAAACATTATTTTTATGATTCCAATCCATCATAAACGACATCCATTGTACTATTTCGGATTATTAAGAAAAATCTATAATTAATAATTTATACAATAATGATTAAATTGAAGCACGCCTGCAGTAAAAATTAAATTTTAAATGCATTTGTCTGTGTATGATATGATCCGTAATGAGTATAACAATTTTTTATGTAATTTGTATTGGTGTGCATGCGTTTTTTTTTTGTTGTCATGAAAAAAACCACTTACATATCATATATACCATCACTAAATCCCTTTCAGTCCATTTTAGGCAAAAGTATGTTGTTAGAATACATATGGCATTGTATTTAAACATGAATGTCTATATTAAGCTAGTTTCAGCATTCCATCTACAGTGTGACCAAAATGATCTTGAAACCAGTCTTGCTGTAGTGATCCGGAACTAGTCTCCGGAAATTGTATAATACCCATCTAGGTCCTTTAGTTTTTTATTAGTTTTAATGCTATTGTATGATTGAAATGTAAATTAATATTAAAGAACTAGTTGGATGGTTGTTGGTTACTAAAGTAGGTTCTGAATGTTCATTATTGAAATAGATAATCATTCATGTGGTTGGAAAATTAGTAAATTTTTGTTTGTATTTTAAAATTAAAGTTCTGATCTGATCATAAGTTTTAACAAACTGATTAACACATTTTTATGGTATTCTTTCATATCTTATTAATGTAACTTCAGAACTTGAGATTTATCCATTACAAAATGATGTAAAGAGGAGAAAATAAAATAAATGATGATAAAAACTTTATATGGAAGCAGTTATTTCAGGAGTTCTATTGTCTTTTCAATTTGAGTAAAAAACTTTTTTTTTTTTTTATATAAACATTTTGGAATGAGAAAGGGTTATGGTTTATCAATATTAAGTAAATGACACTTATAGGTTTCTTAAGATCTTGCTTTTTTGCAGCACTCGACGCTTACTGTCTGATTGAAGTTTATCAAGTTATAAAAAGGCTGTGCTCAGAAAGAAACATACCTCTTGATGATATTGTTCAAGATATGATGACTAGGACAGAGCAAGGGAAGGCCAAAAAGTCTAAAACAAGCAAAGTATGTAACATTTATTTTGTCAGTTTCATCATTTGTCTTGTTTAAAAATAAAGTTTATATTAAAAATCTATATTAATATAAATATTGACCCATGCCAATAATTTGCATAATATTTTAGTCAGCGAAAAATTGGCAGTATAATATATAAATAAGTTAGTTCAATGTATTATGTGATAGAGAAAATAATTTTCTTTTTCTCAGTTGATTGTATCTTTGCTAATAATTGTCTGCTTTCGATTTTTATTGTTTTGCAGAGAATTTAGTAATCTTTCTATTATCATAGATACAATTGGAATAAACAACTAAAAACTCCTCATACTTTTTTATTTTATCTCTAGATCTAAAATGTTTACTGGGAGGGGGGTCCAGTTTCTTGTAGTTTATGTAGCCTTAAATTCCTGATAATTTTTGTGTGGATAGGTGGAGTGAGTCATATTAAAGTTTTAGTTAAATTTTATCCAGCATAATTCAGCCAACACTATTCTGGATAAGAGATGGTATAGTCATTAAACATAAAGTTCGTGATCTTTAGAAATGTTTGTGAATGTAAACTTACTTAGGTAATTTGAAAAGTTTATAATATTTAATTTATTTTGAAATTTGTTCTATTTTGCTGATGGTTAACCGTTCTATTCACCGTTTTACTAATTATGCAACACCAGATTTAGTTATATGCTCTATTTATGAAATTTAATCAAAACTATCATTACCGTAATTTGAATTTATAAAAGTTGTCCAGAGAGTTGTAAATATAAGGATTTTTATTATATTGTTAAAAATAAGTTCTAAATAATAAAATAAGTTATGAATTGTTTTAAGAGATGAAGTTTGTTCATTTGGTTTAACTTTCTTTCTATACTCGTAACTTGAACCAGTATTACTTGCCTGAGTGTGAAGGTTTATCTAATGAAATATAAAGTTTAAATTCTTGTTTTGAGAAAGTTCATAATTTGTTATTATTTCTTTATTTTTAAATGCATTCGTCTCTTTTCAATAGCCCAGTGGATTATTAATAACCTATGATATTAAGACACTTTCATGAAACATTTTTCATGAATTTGGGCTTCTAAAAAGGTTTCTTAGGATTAAAAAAATTAATATTAAATAGAAAATTTTAATTTCATTATTCATGTCTTGGTTTTATAAATACGTTTATAACATTTTTTATTTTTAGAAAAAAAGTGACTTGTAGAAACTGAGATTGTTTCCTTGTCCATTTTTATTTTAATGTTTCTTGTTTTATAAGGGATTGCAAAAACAAGTAAACTCAGACTCTGAAGTCAGTGGCGGGCTCATGCAGCTATGAATAGTCTGACGAAGACCTATATTTAATTAGCAACTATTTGATGTTTTTTCTCAACAACTCGAGGACTGTCTCCTTCTTGAATTACCATACAGTCAACCGTCCATAAATATAACATGAAACACTGGTTATTAATCTATCTTATATTAAGTTGATTTTTATTACTAACTTATTAACTAAGTTATTGCTTGTTGTATTTGTTGTATTTTTATTTTAATGGTTCTATTAAACTTTATTCTGTTAAATTTAGTATTAAAGCATTTTTCATTTCAGAAAAGTAAAGAAGCGATAAGACATAGATCGATAGCGACAGAAGCCAAGAAGATGAAGTTGGTATGTGAGCCGAGCCTGGCTAGCATGGCCACCATATTAAGGAGGCATGGGATAGACACTGCTCTCGCAGAGCTCCAGGACATAGCCGATGTTGCTGAATTGGAAAACAGAATAGCGCTTTCTTCTTCTTGGCCTTTTAAAACAGTAATTATTTTTAGACAACTTTAATTATTCTTTTTAAATAAATTTAGTATAATTTTAGGTATTTACAGTTTATAATGCTTAATTTCTTTTACCAGTTATAAATTTTGTATGGAATTATTTGCCTTTTATTTTTTATTGATTTATAAAAATATAGAGAAAGACCTTAGTTTGAATTCAGATAAACAAATCTTAATTACATTTAATATGTTAAATCCATTTTCGAACGATGACCTATTAGATCTTTTGAATTAAAACATTTTTCATAAAAAACAACATGAAAATGTGAAATTTTAAAAATAGAAATTAAAAAAATTAACCCTACAAATTAAAGTAATTTTGAAGTGGATTCAGCAGGTTTTGTGTTGTGGATTTTCTGATCCACAAACAAAAGAAATATAAAATTATAAATCTTTTAAAATAAATTTTTATCTAAAAAGACTCAAAATTTACAGATTTTTATTTTATTAAATTAATTAATTAATTAATATTTATTGAAATTAATTTTTTTAAAATTGGCTTTTTTATTTCTTTTTTTTTAATGACATTAATATTTTAAACAAAATCCTATTTTGCCAAAAATTTGTTTTTTCACATATTAAAGCCGTGATTTTATTCTTCTTATGAAGTTGGTTGTGTCCTTCTTGATCTTGCTCTTTTATAGTTTTAGGAATATTGAGTGCCGACTCCTTGATATATTTCCTCTTTTGGTTGCTAAAAAAACGGTTACAGGATATCTCTAAATGCAGTGGATCCTCAACTTCATCACATAAATCACAATTTGGTGTCATCTTTATTTTTATCAAGTTTAAGAATTTATTTGTATTGCCATGAATGATTCTCAACCTAATTAGATTTGTCATCTCACATCCTGTCCACTTTCTAATATTAAAACATCACAACTTAACTATTTGTATAATTAATTTAGTTTTTTATCAATTAAACAAAAGTAATTTTATCATGGAGAAATTACATATAATTGGTAATCATATTGCCTCGATATCCTATGACAAAGGAATCTAAAAACAATTTATATATGTAATATAAAGTTGAATGAATGAAAAATTACATTAATTAAAAAATCATTCTTCATTCATCAGTTTGTTTGCTAATTAAATCATATTTTCTGTTTATTTTTTTCTCAATTTAAATTATTTTCTAGATTTCCGAGCAATTACCAAAGGATAAGTGCTACTTGGTGCGTTCGTGTGCCTCTACAGACCAATACAGGGAAGTCATCAGGCAGTTGTACATAATTGTTAAACCGGAGGACATTTTCACTCGGTGTCAGGTAATTAAAGATAAGAATTTTAAAATTTATTTTTTATATTAAGCATCACCTAGACTAGACTAGACTCCAATATATATATATTCTAAAAATATTATTAATTTCACATCAAGAGTTTTTTTTTTTGTTCCTCTCTGTATTCTAAACATGAAATTCCCTAATCCAAAATAAGGTAAGAAGGAACTGCCAATTTTATATATTAATCGTCAGTATTATTTCAAATGCAAAATGATTCAAAAACATAGAGATTATCAATATTTAAGACTTAATTTTATCTTCTGTTTATCAATATTTAAGACTTAATTTTATCTTCTGTTGATGGTTGACAGTGCCACTTTATTGCAACTGGCTTGGTTGGGCGCCTAAATCTATTGGATGCTGATTAATAGGGTTAAGATACCGGTACTGATTGGTCAAAAAATGTAACCATGTGAATATAATGTAATTTAATAATTTATTGTAATTTTGCTTTATTTATTTCATTACTCTTAGCAACTTTCTATCTCTCTCACAGAAATAAGATTAAAAAAATATTTGTCTTACCATTAGTATCCATATTTATAGTGTAAAACAAAAATTAGGACTTACTTTATTTTCATTTGAAAATATAGTAATGTATCAAAAATGAATCATAATGATTACTTAAAACTGACTGGAGTTTTTGTTTCATTTATATATTTTTAAATCTAGGCTTGCAATAGTGACCATGTAACGATGATAAACAAGAAAACTGTTGAGGATTGGTTTCGTCAGAAAGGTACGTCGAAGACTACGAACTGCGTACCAGCGGGTTACTCTGACAATGAGTTTACAGACTCAGAAGAGGATGATTATTACAGTCTTAGTCCGAGGGAGTGTCCCGATTCGGTGAAGAATGGTTCTCATTGTTATCCAACTACTACAACAGGAGTTATAGTTAGGGTTAGTCTCATATTTTTGAGTTAATTATATTTAAATTATAAATAATACTAAATATAATTCTATCTATTATACATAATATTATAATAGATGTATAATATTTATTATATATTTGATTGAATGGATAATACTTGTGTTGACAGTTGGACCTGGTCATTGAAGAGCAAGTTAAGTCGGCCAATTTGATCTGCTTATGTGAGAAATGCGGACGGGTGTTTTGGCAGACAGAGACCAAATAACAGCCTTCTTGCAATTGCTGACCTTTCAGAGAATAAAGTGTAACCACCAATACGGTCTTACAACATTTCTTCCCGTTCCCATATTTTTTGTGATTAACCCCATCTGTGTTCCTTTTGATATCGTCGTTCAGATTATAGGCGAAGAGATAAATGAAAAAAAGTATATATATATACATATATTAAATTATAAGCAAAGTTATATAACTTTTTAAGACAATAACATTATTTAAAATATCAATTGTATTTTAATAGTTTTAAAAATTTTATTTGCTAAAATTTATATTTTTTATTATGCTGTTTATTCTTTGTTTTGTATAATGTTTTTAGTGTTATAAGTGTTGATGATTTTTTGTTTCTCTTATTTCAAATTGTACAAATTAAACAGTATATCTATCTAGTTCTGTTGATGTACTTACTTGAATATGTTTTAATACTTCACAGACGATTACTATATTAGTTAAGAAATTTTATGTTGTACTGCTGTCCTAAACCAATTCTGTGAATGTGTAATAATGACTCACCATAACTGACAAAGTACAGAAATATAATTTCTAAATTGACCTATGTGTTTCTTTAAATTTTTACCATTTAATATTATTCATATTTTTCTTTAATTTACAGTGATATGATGTTTTTCATCATATTAGTTGTAAACATTTATTTGAAAATGATAATCTGTACTGGTAAGTATGATATATAAAATAATAAAATATAATTATTAGTGTGATTTTTCAATTAAATTTTATTGTAATAGGTTATTATTATCCTGAAGTAATGCCTGAAATTTGATGTAGAACTTTATGACCAAAGCTATAAGCAATTTTTTATTTCTTTGATGGTTGGTTTTTACTGTCCATAATATCGGCTGTTATTTCATGACTGTTATTGGTACAGATAAAATGATAATATTATAATTTATTTAATAATATTATAGACTAATTTATTTTCAACTATGATATAGTTTTATTATAAAAAGACAGTTTCTGCTTACAAATAAGTACATCCTTATATATTTTCTTGATTATATATATTTTTTTTCTTTTTCTCAAGGATGTACTGGATATAAAAATTAAAAATAAGTTTTATAAAAATTGTTGAGCTGTTTGTAGAAAACTCAAGTTTTAACTAATAAAAACATAGATTTTTTGGCCATTATTGCACTCACGGTTTCCAATTTGGTTCTAAGGCATCAGGTACCAATATTCAACAAAATCATTCCATCTCCCCAAGAGTCAATGGTGGTACAGATCAATGGCTGAAAATGTTTCTTTTAGATTATGGAGCTCTGGAGCAGACCTGGGCAAAAAGTCTTTTAATTTATATTTTAAAATAAGATGTATTTTGTGTTTTTAAAATACGTTATTTATGAGGCATGATGGCCGAGCGTATTGAAGTATAAACTTAACATTCTTGAGTCAAACAATGCCGATTCGAATCCGCCCTAAAGAGGTTAACAATTTTTTCGAGGCAGACCCACAGAATAAATCTCCACCTTCTCACTCTGGTTGGAATAGGCTTTGTTGTACCTCTTGAAAAAACCATGTATGCCAGGAATTACAAAGTATTTAAATTGTTTTCAGAAAATGTATTGATTACAAAAAAAAAAGATACAAATACTAAATACTTTCTGATGGACAATCATCAAATAATACAGAGAACATACTTTGTTTTATAATTTATTTTCTATATTTAAAATTAATTTTTTGTATTTTAGTATCTTGGAAATAAAATAAAAATACTTTTATTTTTTATTTTAAAAAGAAAATAAACTTATATACAATCTATTTTATAATTTGGTCTTGCAGAGGAGCCCTTTGTGAGAACAGCCCTGATGAAGGCCTGAACATTGGGCCGAAATGGCAAAAATAAATATAATTTATTTATTTTTACTCTTTTACTTTCCTACCTATACTAGGTAAGGAAAGTATTGTGATCGGTTCAAATTTCGACGGATCTATACATTTCAGAGCCTTTTAAGTCCGAAAAATACATTTTTAGCCATTGGTCTGTCTGTCTGTGCCAAGATTTTCTCGGGAACTAGTGAACAGATTTTGTTGCTTCTTTTTTTATTTTGTAGGGTTTTGACTACTGATGCCTGTGACGCAAATTGGATGTTCCATGCGCAATAAACAAAAAACATGTTTTTCTATAGACTAGTGTGCAAACGGCTTTAACGATTTTGATGAAACTTTCCAATATGTTCTAATAATTGTCCTTTCAATTTTTGTATATGGTCTAAATTCCCGAAAAAAAATCAGAAAAAAAGTTTTAAAGAAAAGAAAAATGTTTTGGGTCCTAACTCGCTAAGTATATATTCTATGATAAAATTTATAATAAAACTTTTGAAAGGTGATTAAATTACCAACAAAACAAAAAATAATTCATTGGAATTGAACCAGTATTAGCGATGATACAGCTTATTTTATTTTCTATTTTAATTTATTACTTTCCTACCTATACTAGGTAATGATCCTAAAAACATCGTTTAGCCAGTTTTTTTTTTGAAAGGCAATGAAATTCCCTTCTAAATTATATAAAAATCGTTCATTTGGGATAACTATTAACAAAGTTACAGCTATTAAATTTCGAATGTAAGATTATGGGTTCATATTCTGGTGTCAGAAAGGGGTGAATGAGAGAAAAAAGACAACTAAGTGAAAGTAAGAAAATTTGTTGCCCCCATCACACAAGCTTCACTATTTCCTCTACTTTTAACAGAAATTATTTTTTGACAAGATTAGGCTATGGAAAAAAGTTTTTGATCAGCAATATTAGAGGGTATTGAAATTTTTACACTGATCTACTATAAGCCGGTTTACATTACTTTACTTTATCCAATTAATCGTACTCAAATCTTTTCTTTCATAAATTTTCAGGAAAATAAATGTAATTTAATTTTTTTTTTTGTTTCTTTATGGACATATTTGAAAATATAAAAACTTTTCTGGAATAGATAGGAAAGTCGTGTGAGTGGACACACCAGATTTTTACTTTCACTTACGTATATATGTAATATATAGTAAGTGTAAGTATTGCGATCGAGAAAATTTTTTTACTTATGACTGCTCATCCCAACCAACTCCCCGTCATTATTTTCAGGACAGTCAACTATTAATCCACTATTATTTTATATTTTACTTGTTAAAATGCAAAATATAAAAAATTATTTTATTTTGTATTTTAGAATACATAATTTGAAATACTGCCCAAGTCTGCTCTAGAATAGTCAGATCTGTTTGAAACTGCTCAAAAAATATTCTTACAATAATTTCATTACCTTATAGTGATATCCTGAAGAAGTTGTTTTGGTTAAGAAATAACTTAGAATTACTCTGGAATCGATCATCCAATGACATGATGTTATGTATTCTTATCTTAAAATTTTTATTTCATTACAGATATTTCATATAATACAAACCAAGCAAGGTGTTAAATTCAGGAATTTTTAGTAATGAATGAAAATCTCTACCTTTTAGTAATTTATTTTTCATAGATATATATATTTACACTTATATAAAATTATATATTATAGAACATTATTCACCATTTAGCTTCTCTAAGTCATCAAATCGCACTTAACAATGGCTTATTATTAATATAATGTTATTATATCTTGTTGCTATATGATATCTGTCCGAAGTAGTCTCAACTGCTACAATAGGGCATTAGTTGTCTTTAGGTCTAGTCCTAGAGCAGCTATATAAATAATAATAATTGCTAAATAGTATACACACAAATTCACATAAATATATACAAATATCTAGACTTTCAATCGAAATAAATACACCAAATCAATTTGTAAAATAATGTACATAAATTTTTTATCCGATTTCAAGATATATTTCTTTGTCATTATAAATAAGACTATAGTTTTTAGTTTCCTCTCTATATCCACAAGTGTATGTACATAAATATCTGGGCTTTATATAACAAAAAAAAAAAAAGAAAGAATTAACCACATCTAACCAAAACTGATATTTAATAACCGAAGATATAAAATGATAATACTTATCAGTTTATGAAACAAGACATCTATACAAAGAGAATTGTCTGAAAAAGTATAAAAATATAATAGTGTCAGTTTTGAAGTATCGAATTTCAAAACAAATCATCTTACAATTCTTTTCTTATGAAAGGGGAAATTTCGATTTTCCATTCAAGTTAAAGTTTGATTTTGTTTAAAACAAGAATAAATTATCTCTTATGTAAGTCTTTGTTATTTGAGAATATATACATGTATATGTTAAATATATAACGGAGCAGAAGAACGTGTGACTTTTAAAATATAGTTTCAGACTTGTATTTTTATATCAGAATAGATCATGTAAAAGAAAGAACTCCCAGTTCATATCATTGAAAAAAAAAAAAAAAAGAAAGAAAGAAAAGTGGTTCTTTATTTAAAAGAAAGAATGAAAAGTTTATGATTTTCTTGAGCATGAAAAGATTCAATTTTTTTATTTTATCCTTCATAGAAAACTAAGTTTTCTTCGTTGTGGACAGGCAGTATAGTACAGGTCAGGATAGGATAGAAAACAAACAAAATTAGCAGCAGACTTCTGAGAGAGACTGGGAGAGAATCATAAATTTGAAATTGTTAATACAACAAAGACCCAACTTAAGGTTCCATTTTAGCGTTAGTTTTTTTTTTTTTTTTTTGCTGGAACTATTTTCCATTTCATCTGTCACAAGCAAAGCGAGATTATTTAACCATTTAATCCGTCCCCCCACTGTTGAGGCAGATTGCCCCCGCTTAACGGGCGCAAGCTACCGCATCACTCAACCACAATCCTGAACAATCTCTTAACTTTTAATAAATTGACGAAAATATATGTTGGCCGGTGGTGGGTTGATGGTGGGTGTATGTCGACTTGCGGCTTCTTCTCTTCACTGGATCACGCAGCACTTGCACTTCGGCTTCTTTTTCAGGTTAACGTGTTCCACCTGTCATCAAATAATGTATTAATTTCCCAGCTCTAAGCTATTTTATTTAAATTAAGTAATAATTTATCAGTGATGATATTTAAAACTGAAAGTAAAACTTTTCCTTGGTGTAGGTATAAATTATATAATAAATAATTTTCTACATTTAATCCTATATCAACAAACATTTTTCTAAAAATAATTCTATATCTTATAATATTTTTTTAAAAAGTTCAAGCCATCTTTTCAAAGTGTCATTTAATTACTGAATGAACAATAGGTAAATTTTATTATAGAACAACTAGTTATCTCGGATTAATGAAAATGTAGATAATATTTTTCTGAGATGTAATGATAATCATGCAATATCAATATTATGAATTAAAGACAAGTATAAGTAAATAAATAAAAATAATGAAATAGAAATTAGAGAAATATATACATTTACAACAGTAAACAATAAAAATAACAACAATGAAATAATAAAATAAAAATAAAAAATTGTTCTAAAATGTATGCGGATTACATTAAAGTATGAAGCTAAAAAAAAAAGTTTAACTTAATAATCAATTTTTAAAACCTCATGTTGGATCAATGGAGATAGATACAAGCAAGCACTAGCATACCTAAACCGTTT